TTCTTACAAACCACATTGATTTTACGAGGTTGTATTATATGAGGAATCACAGAAAATAATACAGAAGGTGCTAAACTTTTTTCTTTGTGTATACTAGCACAACGGTTCCAATACCAGGGGTTAAATTTGCTTATAGTTGAGAAGAAAGTAAGTGAAATAACATTGTTATCTGCTATCATTATATGAACTTGAAATAATAAAGGTAACAACATAATTTTAAAAATTTCCTCTTGTCATTTAGCTTTATCATGGTAGAAGTGTAAACTAAAATTACTGAACAACACCAGTGTAGGTAAACAGGACAAAAGATCTACCGGTAGTTAGAAATCCTTTCATTTCAAGCATACATTATGTCCGTCTGAATTGCCAAAAGTCTGAACACAAATATGCCCAATTGGATATCAAGATATGGTCAAGCAAAATCAAAAGTCCAGAAAAAGTCTAAAAATATCGAATGGACTAATTTGGGTTATTGTTAATAATAGGCGGGATTAATAACGTGATCAAAGCAATAACCCATATACACAAACTTTGACTGACTACCGTACTTAACCCACATTATGTTGCTACTAATTGTGTGATTTCCTTATTATATTAATCCTGAACACATTTCTACATGTGTAGTTGAAAATTTGACAAGTAGATACTATAGGAAATGCTCGGTAAATATATATTTGATAACCCACCTCTAGTTCATATTGGCTTGTATCAACAGTTTCATCTTTATAATAAATATCTTCTATCGTTTCTATAATCTCTTCTTGTTCATGGGGATTACTAGGTTGCTCAGGCTACAAAAATAAATAGGAATATACATGTAAGATACACAGAGAATAGATTGGGTGCATGCATATATTGTGGTTTATGTAATAAACGTAGTGTCTCACATGACCAACATGACCAGCAGTATTACATGTACCAGTTGATAATAGTCTTTTTCAGGTTTTAATAAGATCCAACTTGTTTACTAAATTTAAGAAGCTCCGCTCAAAGTTCAATAATCATCCTTATCATACTTTTGTACAATCCTACTGCTTATTTTTAGTCGAGCACAGCTCAACGATCCAATGCTGGTTTTCCTACTAATGTCAAAAATTGATGATGATGATTAATGCAGGACTTACCTTAAATTTAGCAACAGCAATTTCTCCTACTAATAATTCAGTACTGATTGTTTCTTCAACAGGTGATGTTAAACTGTCCTGTAAAATATAAACACAAATATGTACGAATACACAACATTAGTGGGTGTGAAACAGACTGATAATAGGGGCAAATAGCTAACAAATGATATGTGAGGAAGGAATGTACTATAGTAGGATTGTCAAAAACAAATCCACATGTATATAACAAGATATTATATCAAAAACGGTTTTCTGCAATAGATGTACATACCGCAACACGTACTGCAATACAAAATATGGTATAGCGGTACCGATATTTTCACTTCTTTTTAAAAATGATTTGACTGTATGGAAAGACAATTTATTTTATTTACTTCAGTAAAATTTATACAATAGTATTGATTTTAGTCATTTTTTTGAGTTCCAAAGTCCTATCTGGCATAAATCATACTGGCATTAACTAAGCAAAAACCTATCAAAGTTTTCTTCAAGACAATGATTAATTATTGTCATTTTTATTCATTCAATTTCTTCAGCTCATATATTTCCATTTCAAGGCAAAAAAATTTTCAGCACTGTCGAGATGGCAATCATCATACAGAAATGAAAAGTATCATTTTACTCAACTTAAATAAAGGGGCATTATGGAAGATTAGAAAAAGAGCTAGCAGTTCTAAATAAATATAAAGAGTGTGAAATTATAAGCTAATCGTATATAAAAACAATCACATCAAATTTATTTCAATGTATTAGCTACATGTAGCCTACATTCTCTAAGATAACTTTTCCGTAAGTAGGCCAACAACCCTGTTTCTTTTTTTATCATAAATCATATCTTTAGTATCAGAATGTACATGTAGGCTATAGCTTACATTATATAGATGCTCTCCATGAAATACAAGGATTATCATAAAATAACTGTCTGTAGGGCTACACGTACATGTACTGCCACAAAGCTAATTCAATGCAATGCAATGAGTAATGACATGTCAGACTCCATGTTGAGATCAAAATCAATGTATTGTAAAAATAAATAATAATCCATCAAGATTCCAGAATGGCATAAAACATAAGATGTTCTTCAAACATGCAATATCTGGTCATCAGGGCAATCATCATGATAGTACAGAGTTTGATCAAACTGTCACAAATCTAATGCAAATTTATAGATTAGACTAATTGTCTAATTAATTAGTGATCAAACTCAAAGTAAAGATAGGCAAATAAATAATACATCAAAATTATATATATATGATTTCATTTCAACAGATGTATATTGACACTTTATTTCAATCAAATAAAAGATTTAAATAAAACCTCGACGAACCTGCTTTCCTATTAAATTACGTAGTTTTTGTTTTATATCCATTTTACTACGTTATTTGCATTTCCATTTATATTTGATTATAATTTTTGTCAACAGTCTTCCATCTTGAAAACAACGCCTCCTTCATTCCAGGGGAGATAATTAGTCTCCAGAATTTACCTTAAAATCTGTTTTTCTAATATATTGAGGATTTGAATATGTTTTTTTGTTTGACTATTGTTTCAGTCTATTTGTTGTTTACGGTACCCTCCCCCCCCCACCCCAATAGTCACTAATAAAGTTGAAGTTTAAGGGACTTATTATATGAAGCTTTCTATTAACAAGGGGGGAGTAACTCCATTTAAGAATTTGCAAAAATATCCAAAGTTCATGAATAAAGGATTAATTATATGCATATCATTTGGTAAATGATTTAAGAATGATTGGATTGGTGCTTACAACTGCTTAAAATTTTAATACCAGAGAATTTTTCATAGCTCTATGATTATTCAGCACATACTATAGGCACTAGCATACACCTCAGTTTGACAATAAATTTGTAATGTAATTTTAATTATTATTGTCTGAAGAGACCCATCTTTACAGGCATAAGTCAGATTACTTATATATATTTTCTAAGTCAAAAGTATGCACCCTACATTAATACTGTCAAGATTTCACATCCGCCTATAAAAGATCTTCCATGTATAAAGAAATAAATAGGGTTTAACATCCTACAGTTCTGCTCCAACTGGGGCAACGAAAGAAGGGCATACACCATACAGTGTGCTACGAGGGAAATTTTTACCGGGCAGCGGCACTATGACCTACTCTTATATCGAATTCCAACCATGGGTGTACAGGTCAATTTTTCGTGTGTGTGGCGGTGTGGGGCTGTATCATTTTTGCCCGAAAAATGAACCTACATAACTTTACCAGATAGGGCCCGAGCATATTTTCTGAATCTGCAGTTTGAGTTAGAGTTTGATTACATTCCTTAGAACTGTATCCTGTGTTTTGTTTGTGGCATCATGTCGACCCAAGTGGTCTGATGTGTGCACTTTAGATCATAAGATCTGTCATTGAGTCAAGTGGTGTGGTATCAATTCCAAGTTTGTATGTGGCAAGGAGTAGGGTTTTCTGATAAGTCATTCTGTTCTCTCCCACTGCTACAGACCCTTATAAAGTGAATTATTGAAATAAAATTGAACCATGTTAATCCCAAAATGTCAGTTTATGTCAAAAGGACATTAAATCCAATTTCTGGGATTTGGGGGGGGGGGGGGGTCCACACTTCACCTTGGTTTCAAATATTTCTCTTTATTTATGCATAGAATGTGATAATACGGCTTCAGAACAATGTCAACAAAAACTCTTGGAAAAAATATCTTTTGATTGATAGGATAATGATTTAGGTCAAGAGTACGGCTATACAGTTGTTAAAGGCCCAGAATTTGATTTTAATTAGGACTATACCCCAATTGGCCTGGGGCCCAAATTTGCCCGGACCCCAAATTCGATGGTCTAAAACATTCACAGGGTCATGCTGGTTAATTTGATACCACATGTGGGGGTGGGCGAAGCATGTTTGGCGAACATAAATACATCCACACTTTGATTTTGTTAAAACTTTGGTCATTTTGAGACTAACACTTGGTATCTTTCATTTTATCAGTTTATTATAACTGGTGTGACACATGGTATCTTTCATTTTAACGGTTTATTATAACTGGTGTGACACATGGTATCTTTCATTTTAACGGTTTATTATAACTGGTGTGACACATGGTATCTTCATTTTAACAGCTTATTATAACTGGTGTAACACATGGTATCTTTCATTTTAACGGTTTATTATAACTGGTGTGACACATGGTATCTTCATTTTAACAGCTTATTATAACTGGTGTAACACATGGTATCTTTCATTTTAACGGTTTATTATAACTGGTGTGACACATGGTATCCTTCATTTTAACGGTATATTATAACTGGTGTGACACATGGTATCTTTCATTTTAACGATATTTTATAACTTGTGTGACACATGGTATCTTCATTTTAACAGCTTATTATAACTGGTGTAACACATGGTATCTTTCATTTTAACGGTTTATTATAACTGGTGTAACACATGGTATCTTTCATTTTAACGGTTTATTATAACTGGTGTGACACATGGTATCTTCATTTTAACAGCTTATTATAACTGGTGTAACACATGGTATCTTTCATTTTAACAGCTTATTATAACTGGTGTAACACATGGTATCTTTCATTTTAACGGTTTATTATAACTGTTGTGACACATGGTATCCTTCATTTTAACGGTATATTATAACTGGTGTGACACATGGTATCTTTCATTTTAACGGTATATTATAACTGGTGTAACACATGGTATCTTTCATTTTAACGGTTTATTATAACTGGTGTATATTTTGGCAATTGATCTGCATATTTAAATCCACTTGTATCCATGCATATCCTTAAAATGTTGGGCTAATATTCTTATGCAAACAATACTTCCAAAGGCTTTAGCTTACAAATATAAGAGAAAATTCAACAAAAATATTTTTAAAATTTATTAACCAAATAAGCTATAGTTCACTACGAAAACAAAACAAATAAGGGTCCTAAGGCCACACAAAATAAATGTCTTGTTTCTCGGGCAACTGACAGCTGAAACTGTAGGGAGGGAGGGCGGTTTCTTTTTTTTTTTTACTCATTGATGGTGCAAAATAAAATTTGGCTATTGCTGAAAATTGTTGGGGCGGGAGGGCGGTCTTTCTTTTTTTTTTTTTTTTAAATGAGAAAGTCATTACTTGTTTACGTTTTTGCTTTCCGTTATATTCAACTTTATTGTACATACTTAAAACATATCAAGTCTACTAAAACACTGAGACTGAACACTGACTGAAAGGAAAATAATTTTCCATATTTAATTCACATAATTGAAATTGGTTTAAAATAAAATTCCATACGACTATGTAATAGCCCTCCATAAAGACAACAATATTTTTAAAAACTAAGCCTCTTTCACCAGGTGTATCAAAAATAATAATCATGGTAAACAGTATTTAAAACTAAATCTAGTATCGCCGGTTTATTTATAATTATTTACCGAATTCCAACCAATGATTGTCACACCGTGTCATCGGTATTGGAGATTGCCGGAAATACTGTTTCTTGGGATATTCGGTGTGTTTCTCAGGATATTCGGTGTTCTATCCGGTGTTTATATTGAATGACTATTTAAATCTAACTAACAACTGGTCAGTAAAACCATCAAATCGGTAATCCAATTATTATTTTCCGGATTATCGAAACTACCGTAAATGTGCTAATAATGACCCAGATTCTAAGGTATGCATTATGACGACTATCGTCATCGTATCGTATTCTTAGCTATAATTAATTAACCTGTTCTACGGTTCATTATTTTATCAATAGGATTTTCCAAACAAGGACCGACTGAAGCCGGCAATAATGAGCCGATTACGATCGAATGATTGAAATATTGTCGCCAATGACTTTTAACACGAATCAAATTCTAGTTTATCAGGGGAGGTAATTAATATCACGTGATACAAAATGGAGGTTCTTTCGATATCAATAAAAAAGGCAAATCTACCAAACTTCGCCATTGTTCGGATAAAAAAGACAGCATGTTCATCTGAATCAGTTTTAATACATTTGAATAGATATACATGTATGGCGGATGTAGGTACATGCGGGATATTTTTTTTACGACTTGCTTGTCGATGTGCGGGCGGGCGTTACATATTTATTTTTTTTCATCAAGACTAATAAATAGACTGCACGCGCAACCAATTTTGCGTGCGGGCGGTGCCCGAGAAACAAGTTATTTTATTTGTGTTGCCTAAGATATTTTAATTTAAATCTTTAAATTAAATAATTTAAACAAGGATACTGATTATGTATGTATGTGAAATGTATTATAACAAGGAATGTTGACTACATTTAATATCTTGTGTTGTTGGGGAATTACCAGCTTTGGACAAGAAAACCTTAGAAAATAAAATGACCTTCTTCAGTCTCTGCACCAGCTGGAGTAATGAAGATTAGCATATGCCATGCAGCGAGTTATAAAGAAAATCATGCCCAACACTGGCATCGTAATTGTAATTTTTTTTCTATACAACCTTTTCGAAACTATTCACTAGACTAAAATTGATGAAAATAGAAAATCTATTCCTTTCTATAAATAAGTCATGTGAAAAGAACACTCAACTGATTGTTATAAAACAAGGCATGTGACAAGATGTATAGAAATAATAATAAGTACACATTGGTGTAGAAAGTTTTACTCATAAAAAAAAAAGTAATTTTCAATTTACCTAAATGACTACAAAGCACAACAAAAACACTTACAAATTTTAGTATAAACCAATTTTCGATGCAATTACCAAATGTAAACCTTTATTTTCATTTCAAAATATACAAATCTATATTCAACCCATCCTATTTACAATATTTCAAACATTCATTTAAATCATAAGGGCATAAACTGCATATTTCAACAAATTAGAAGCCTCAACAATTGTTTCAATGGCATTAAGCAATTGAGTTAGAAATACATAGACAAAGTTCTATGGAATACAGTTCCTGTTGATTACTAAGCGATAATTTGACTACAATTCTCTGGATTAATCGAGCAACGTTGACATTTTGCTCCGTAATAAACAGTAAATGATGTAGACAAGCGTCTTGATATTTTATCATTGCATTGCTTGAGAATCCTAGTTGAAACATAACTTTGTAGTACAGTAATTGTTTTCCAAAGAATTATGTTCTGTGTATCAATAGATAATCCGTCATGATCCGGTTCTTAGAAAAAAATTGAATCCAGTACGATTTAGGTTCAATATTTTTTTAAAGATTTTTTTACATAAGAAGCGGATATCTCTGTCAAAACAATTCCCCTTTAAATCATCTGAAATTAAAGTCAATGGAGATATAATCCACATAAAATGGACTACTGATATTTTTCCAGGAACCGGACCAATTTGGGCTAGAGTTCTTAAAATAATACTTCATAAGATACAATCAGTGCAATGGTTTCAGTATCGAGAACAACCATGCAGGATTTCATCAAACACGAATAACACGAAGTACCCATAAAAATATATTTAAATATACAAACATGGGAAGATATGGTTGTAGAAGATAAAACCCATGAGCTTATTTCCCGAAAATATTAACTTTTTTTTTATTGGCTAAGAACCATACTATACTAGGGTTTCATATATCAGCCAATGAAAAATCAGTATTTGTCAAGAAATAGACCTTCTATACTAATTGTAACCTTATTATTATTTGATTTAATTGAGTGAATTAGCCAATCCAACTCTGTTGTTGCCGAGATCAAATTCTGAATAAAATCTTCCCAAAAAGACATCACCGAGAATCCAGAGTGGGCCAAGAGGTGCTGGAACATCCAGTCCAATAAATCCACTTAAACAGATGGTAGTTCCAGACTGGGTAATCTAAAATACAAAAAATAGATTTTGTTAAATTTAAGGGACTTGAATCCTTTCCAATCTACAATAATTGTGAAATTTGAATCCCTAAATGGTTCAATTCCATTCAGTATTTACAAAAATATGATGAATTAAAAATGTTCACAACATTTGAAATCCTCTGTAGACGAAATGAACAAGCCAGTACCACCTTATAAGTGTTGAGCAAATCTTACGAGACTCTTTATAATCCGACAGAATTCATGCTAGGAGATGATCTACTGTTAGTATTTTGGTTTTGTTTTATTCATACCCGGTAACCAATTTGAGTACAATTAAGTGTGAAAAATTAGAAAATGTTCGAATAATACACATCAGCAATCTACATAATTAAAGCTGGGGATGATAATTTCAATTCCTTAAATCTTGTTGATTAATATTTTCATGAACATGTCAGCCCCATTAAGAGACATTTGTCAGATATTTCTGGATATTAAATGTTGTGAAAGATGCATTCTATCAAGAGTTTCACGAACACGTTTGTACACTAAAAATATTTCAGTTTGTTAAACTAAAAATATACTTTTAAAAAATATAAATATATTATTCCCATCATTCAATTACTGTAAAAAAGAAATAAAAAACCAAACCAAGATATTAATGCGTTAAAGCCAAGTCACACTTTAGAAAAACTCTATGGCATAGAAAAAGACCTATTCATTATATGTCCTGTGAATTGACAAGTACTTCTCTAAATGGTTGACATTAACTCAACCGAGAATAACCTACAGGATTTATCCTTGAGGAGTCTTGCAATGATTTGTCTTAAAGGGCCAATATACTGGTTGGTTCTGGCTTAAGGCTTTACGTCCGCGTTTACCTAGGGTGATATCGCAGACATGTGATTCCTATAAAACTTGCCAGGGAAATCGTATGGTAGGCTTAATCCAGCATGGGTAGAAGACATGAGATTGATTAGAAGGCATATTCGATTTCGTTTTCTTAAATAAAAGACACACTGCCTTTTGCAAGGTAGCTTCCAAGGTAAATTTCATCCAAAGCAGTTGTTCCAGAGTGAGAGAGAGAGAGATGGGGTTTAACATTCACTCAATACAAACTAGGTTCAATTGTATTTCAATGGGAGGAAACTGGAGCACCTGGAGAAAACCCACGAGGTTGGACAGGTGACCCAATCCTTGTCACATACAACCAGGGAATCGAAACCATGGCACTTGACTCAATGACAGGCCTTATGATGCAACGCGCACACGCTAACCATTCGGCCATCCACCCACCCCACCCCCATTTCAGGACTAACGTAATATGGAACATCTTAAATTACAATAATTCAATTGAACACAAAGGTTTTTATCATTTGGAAGAAAATGGAGGATCATTGTCCATGTAACATTCTCCCTTTGCAATGAAAATTACTGAATGTTAGTCTCAAAATAGCCAAAGTATTGTATTAATGACATGCTAAACCCCTTTCAATTCAATTTCTCTCTTAAACTGCAAAATTTCATTGAATTAGTAAGCTATTATATAAGCAATATACATATCTAAATAGTTAATAACCCTAAAGAAGCACTAAAGATAAAATAAACAAAAATATTAGTAAGCATAAATAACATCCAATATTGACAGTAAAGCATAAATAGAAAAACTAGATTAATCACAGAATCTGAATCATGCAAACATCTATTTCTGTAAGTCATACATTTACAGTAAATAAAATCCAATTATTTCAAGATTAGATTCCTATAAAATTATATTTGGATTCAACGGATCTTGAAGATGGGAGAATTGTAGATATTGTACATACGTCCAACGAGATCCAGTGGATATTAAGCAATATACATGTACCAAGTTTCATTAAAAATATAAACTTTATCACATTCACAAGCTATTTTTGATGTGTTCTGAATCCTCAATAATTCCATGGATATACCTCATATCTCATAGATAAGTTGTCAGGGATTTCAACTTTGGATATAGATTATTGATTTTAGAACCGAAAATTGTATATTTTACAAATGATCGTCAGAAAAAAATGTAGGACATCAGAAAATTTAACGAAGATGGCTGTTTGCTATCGGTTTGGATGCTGTATCTCAAAAGAAATTTCCTAGGAAACATTTGTTGAGGTGAAGCCCCACAAACAACCAATCTATTTTAATTTTTCTTAAATTATATATCTTGTATTTTCTGGCATTAAACTGACCGATGAGATTTCATAAAGATTACTTTAAACACATGGGAAACAAATCCGGACCAGAATGTCATTTGACTTGATGAAAATGAAATTGGATTTGATTTAACAGCTACTACACAACACAAAGTAGAAATACTGTATGTACTTTCTAGAAATCACCAGAAAGACTTAAACAAATAAAAGTATTTAAGGTTTACTGATGGCCATTTGAGGAATTTTTAATCTCTTGCAAACTACAATACTACACTATCTAAAAGGGGAGAGAGAGAGAGAAATGGGGTTTAACGCCCACTTGACACAAACTAGGTCATTTCGGGACTAACATATGGTTTAATTTTTTATTTCAAAAATTCGCTTGCGCATAGGGGTCTTTAGCAGTGGGAGGAAACCGGAGGACCCGGAGAAAACCCACGAGGTTGGACAGGCGACCCTACTCCTTGTCACGTACAACAGGGGAATCGAAACCCCGCCAGTTGACTCAATGACAGATCATATGATACAGCGTGTGCATGCTAACCATTCGGCCATCCAACACCCCCCCCCCCCCCATCTAAAAGGAATATCAGTCCAAAATAGTTCAATTCCGTTCAGTATTCATAAAGATACGATACATTAAAAATTTGTGAAAATTCTGTATCCTCTGTAGACGATATGAAAGGGATCTAATCATCACTAAAATCTTTTGATGGGCCTCTTTTAAATCAGATTCAATCCAAGCCATGACATTATCTACAATTGTTAATTTCGATTTTATTTTCATAAATTTGAGTATATTTTAGTGTGGATCAAGCTGTGTAAAAATTGATATTTTCCCAAAAATGACAAACAGCGACTTTAAGTTGGTAAATCTAAATAAAGATATGAAATAAAAGATATTAGTAGAAGTAAAGCCGTGCCAAGTTAAATAGAGCAAGAACATGCACAGTCTGTAAAGAACAACCTATTATATAACTAATGGTTGATGGTGGTTGTGTTGGCAAAACCAACTCGGTTATTAGCCTTGTCAAATTCTGTATAGAAGGGACCAATGAAGACATCCCCTAAAATCCATAATGGACCGAGAGGGGCTGGCACATCAAGTCCGATAAAACCACTCAGACAAATAGTTTGGCCAAATTCAGTTATCTGAAATCAAGCAAATCTTTATTTAAGCAGGTAGAAATAAATCACAGAGCCTTTGTTAACAAAAACTTTTAATCATCCCAAAACTGTTATCTTACTTAGTTACCAATGGTTTCCACAGTGAGATGCTATTGTCAAAACAAGTGTTATCTTACTTAGTTACCATTGGTTACCACAGTAAGATGCTATCTAACTTAGTTACCAATGGTTGCCACAGCGAGATGCTATTGTCAAAACAAGTGTTATCTTACTTAGTTACCATTGGTTACCACAGTGAGATGCTATCTTACTTAGTTACCAATGGTTGCCACAGCGAGATGCTATTGTCAAAACAGGTGTTATCTTACTTAGTTACCATTGGTTACCACAGGGAGATGCTATTATCAAAACAAGAGTTATCTTACTTAGTTACCATTGGTACATAGTTACCATTGGTTGCCATGTAATGAGATGTTATTGTCAAAACAAGTGTTATCTTTCTTAGTTACCATTGGCAATCAGATTAAAATACAGATATTTTTTTTTTTTACTTTTGCAGGCCTCAACTACATGAAGATCCGACTGGTTGTAGTGGAATGGTTGCACCCCATGGGTCGTATGAGCGACTTTTAACCCTATGAAATCAGTCACTTGATTAACCAATCCACGTTAGTATCCCAAGTGGCTATTTGGAAATAAAGCTTTTACTCATGTTTTGTTCCACTGCGAATGTCTACCTACGGTTCCGCAGGCCACATGATAAGAATACAAATCAACAGACCACTGGATTAGTGAACACTTTACATCAGAGGGTTATTTAACAACTCTGCCAGATCCTGGTGTTGTGAAGACAAGGAACATGAAATAACCCAAACAAAATAGGATCTGTGTTTTAATCAGATTGTTACCATTGGTTACCATAAGTGTTATCTTACTTAGTTTCAATTGCTATTGTGAAAACATAGTGCAATTAATATTCTTTGTATTAAGAAGCTTCCATTTAGTTAACTTCATGGTACAAAAAATTGAAACGTTGTACTCCGACTGGGCTAATGAAGACGGGAATATACCATACAGTGTGCTATGAGGGAAATTTTGCCCAGGCAGTGGCACTATGGCCTACTCTTAAATCGAATTCCTACTGCCAAGGGATCTTTAACATGCATGCCAATGTATACATGGGACCTCGTTTTTTTGCCCCATCCAAATGACTAGACAGCTGTCTTTGTCAGGCCCTCCACCCTGCACCACTGACAAGGGGAAAGCACGTCGGAAATTCATGGTACATCAAGGAAAGGTAACACAGTATAAGTACCAAGATCATTTGAGTGGAAGCAAACTTACTATTATTATATTATTATTAATATTATAAAATCATTTAAATGGTGCAATTTTTCACAAAATGTTTTCAGATGCGCTGAACAATATATATTACTGGAAATAAGGCAAGTGTTACAGACAATTTCAGGCATCAATTCAGTCTGAGTCACGTATAAACCCTCAGGTGATGCAGATTTGTCATTTTTCTGTGTTTTAAGTACATGTCCAGTTAACAAGTCAATACTGTTGCTGATCTGCTTCGCCTTAAACCCAAAATATAGATGAAACTCTTGCTCAGTGTTAGAAGCAGAGTTATTGTGTTCCAAAGTATAGAGAAATTGAACTTAGTCAAGGGATTGATGTAATGAAACAAGTGTTATCTTTCTTAGCTACCATTGGCAATCAGTCAAAGTTATTGTGTTCCAAAACGATGGATAGATTGCTGCTTAATATACGCAGAAAATGATCAACATCGCACTCAGTCCTGATATTCATCCAATGACTATCTACACAAAGTCTGTCCCAAAATGTATAACGGATAGACAGAAAACCCATTTAATAATTCCCTGCTTTCTTTGAAAGACGGGAGACAAAAATGTTCATTAGGCTACACAATGACACAGTGGTATCCAAGAACTAGAATATTTTTTTTATGTGGCCATATTACCTGTTATTTAAATTATTTACAGCCTTGTGAGTGACAAGACTAAAGCCGACTTGTAAAATTACTTACCCTGAGAACGTAATCTCTTCCCTGTAGTGTGAAAGGTTTCCCTCCTAACATAAATGTCACTGGAGGTAATGATGGAATCTTACTGCAGTCAATCATATACTGAAATTACAAAAAACATAATAAATAACAAGTTATTAACATCTTGCAACCATCTGTCTTTTGTTTTTTCATTGACTGAACAGATGGGCTAAAAATCAAATCATTAGCAAAATCTTTAATAATGGTAAGATGTTACAAACTAGTCCATTATTAACAGCATAATTAATGAAAAATCTGGACTTGAAAACGATCAGAAATGTTGAAATATTGCATTACAATTCAATTCTAAATGATTGATCATTGTATGGCCAAATGCCATTCAAGGATCTTACTACAGGTTACTGAATTACTCTTTAAGCGTCAATATAGTTATCCTTATCTTACCTCTCCCTTCGCCAATGGTGTGGCTCCAATGGCTGCCTGTAGTTTCGTCACTTCCGCTGATGGTCCAGCAAGTAGAGAAGTTCCTGTATCAGCGATGGCAGAACATCCTCCACTACAGAATGATGAAGTTTTACCATCAATCATAATTCTAAAATGAAATGAAATAGAGTTTAACGTCCTACTGTTCTGCTTCAACTGGCTAATAAGGACAGGCATATACGACATATAGTGTGCTATGTGGGACATTATGGCCAACTCTTATATCGAATTCTAAACTGTCAAGGGATCTTTTACGTGCACACCAATGTGTAAACGGGACCTTGGTTTTTCATTTCATATGAACAATTATATGTTGTCCATTGTCGAGGGAAAGTCATGATGAACTTCCTCAGCCAACACGGGTATCGAAAACGGGACCTCCAGGTAATCGAGCCAACTCCTTACTCACTGAGCCATCGTGGCTCCTAATAGAATTTCTACAAAAAAACAACAAATCCAAAGAATAAAATAATTTATGTCTTTTTACACAAAAACCTATCTTGGTATTCCAAGCCATCAGTCACATAATTACAACTTACCCGTCCATTTTGAACTGCCAATAGCCTTGTTTTGTAACAGGGAGATAAGTAAAACTACCGTTGTAATGTTTAGGATCACTTCCACCAAATATCAATTCACCTCCTTCTTTACCTGCTGGATTTCTGGTAAAATATTAAAAAAAACCCATAGAATTGAAATTTGGTACATCAGTTTTTCGGAATACTCGTCATCAGATTTTAGCTGCCAAACCACCGTTAACTTTGATTACCAATTGGTGACTAATCCAAGCGACTAAAATCCACTATCCTCGTCCCTCGTCAACCTTGCTGGCATTATTCTTTTCCCAATTTGCTACTTTTCAGTCACAGTATATAAAGATTGGCACCATAGGTGGGAGAGAGAGATGAGGTTTAGCTATTCGGCACAAACTAGGCCATTTTGGGACAAACACATGGTTCAATTTTATTTCAATAATTTGCTTGCGAGTAGGGGTCTTTAGCTGTGGGAGGAAACCGGAGGACCCAGAAAAACCCCACGAGGTTGGACAGACGACCCTACTCCTTGTCACGTACAACCAGGGAATCGAAACCACGCCATTCGGTCATCCAACTTCCCCACCATAGGTGGACAAATCTCTCAATAACATATCACAGATTCAATGTATTTGTTCACCTCACATTAAAGACACATTATGTAAGGTTTAAACAAAGAGCTAGCCATTCATGCTATAATAGTTCGAAAATAGATAATGTAAAATGAGTAATTTGAAAATTTCATTCAAATTACTCTACTGCGAGCGAAGATATTAGCCTTTGAAGGTTTGACAAGACGTGTGCAAATATTGACTAGGAGGTTCTGGTGCTTTAAGGGAAATAAGTCATGAGAGTCATCCCCCTTAAGTAAAATTCAGTATCCATGGAAACGGTCATCTCAAGATTACATGAGAATGATTAACAGACATACCTGTCCAAGTAAAAGGAGAATACAGGTGCCTCCACAAGTTTTTGTTGAACCATATTATAAAACACTGGAACAACACGATCAACCGATATCGTATCATAACCGAGACCAAGAATACCGTCAAATTTAGCGGCAACAAAAGTTATGCCAGGTTGAGATGTTGCTTCAGCGAAAGTCTGGTTCTTCACGGTTAAATCTCCTATCTAAAAAGACATCATCAAAAAATGCTATTGAGGCTCATGTGTAATTCCTCATAAAAAAATATAGTAAAGATGTTTCTCAGAAATTTTCTTTTAATTAAAATATAAGTGAGTGTTTTATTTTTTTAATAAATAAACCCTTCAATACTTAAACCTTCCAAAACTGATAAAAACTACCAAACCCTCTAGCGTACCAATCCGTCCGATTCTTTGGGTTTGAGGTGATTGTGGCCGCAAAAGTTTCAAGTGGTTTTGAAAATGAGCTACAAAATTTTTCATGAAACTGGGGTAGTCAAGATCTTCATGTAAATTTACATGTTCCAAATGCTAAAGGGTTAAAATCAGATGAAAAGGTAGACTACAGAATCTTCCGATGTCAAAAACGAGCAGTGTGGGGAAGCATTTCGTTTTGGTACTAACATAATTATAGTACAGTAGAATCTGCATTAAGCAGCCACCCAAAGGAATTTTCACAACTGACCGCTTAACGGGAGTGGCCTCTTAATAAAATCTCATTGCTTTTTGTGCTGACATAAATATTAAATTAAATATTACGCTTGGAAGCGGTAAATTTGGCCGTCGCTGAATCTTGCGCCGAACGAAAATTCTTTACTCAAATCTCGGACATAACTTAACGGGAGTGGCCTTTAAATAAAATCTTGGTGCTTTTTGTGCTGACATAAATTAAATATTACGCTTGAATGCATTGGAAGCGGTTAATTTGACCGTCACTGAATCTTGCGCCGAACGAAAATTCTTTACTCAAATCTCGGACATAACTTCAGTAAACTTGACATTTTGTACCAACCTTCGATACTACTGTCTACCATTGTGATGCATTCCATAATATTTATCCATTTTTGTGAAGAAAATCGATGAATTCATTTTATTTTATCAAAAAAGCACATGAACAAAAAAAACATCGCTAATTTCATCACCTATTTACAGGGGGTGTAACTCTACGTAATATTATAGGAGGCTCTAAGAGAGATACTAGATGATCGTGACAAAACTCGGTACTTTTATTTTATTCAATCAGTATCAAATAATGTGTCGTTACGCGTGAAAACAATGATCAGGTTAGTCGTTTCATAAAACAAAAGATTAATTAACAGATAATCCCGGGTTGATTGTTATTTTTACATTTCTTTTTACCTGATCAGTGGGGGTCCATTTAATTAACTACTACTCACAGGATTAGCGGGAGTGTTACAAAGAACGACAAGATGATATCATTCAACAATGGCCGTTGAATGGGCTATGTTTTGTTGAATTTATTAGTAAAATAGTGACCGCTGGCCGCGTTAGAGGAGTGACCGTTGAATAAAGAGATGAAACAACAGAATTTCTACGGGGGAAATTTATCGTGACCGCTTACAAGGAGATGTCACTGAATAGGAGTGGCTGCTCATACAGATTCTACTGTATATCGTTATTTGGCATTCTTCTACAGTGGTGAGAAATGGGGTTTAACGTCCTACTGTTCTGCTCCTATGTTGGGCTAATGAAGACGGACATACGCCATACAGTGTGCTATGAGTGAAATTTTGCCCGGGCAGCGGCACTATCGCCTACTCTTATATCGATTTCCAACTGCCAAGGGATCTTTTACGTGCATTCCAATGTATACACGGGACCTCAGTTTTTGTGTCATCCGAAGGACTAGACAGCTGTCCTTGTCAGGCCCTCTGTCCTGCATCACTGACAAGGGGGAACCACTTCTACAGTGGAAGGACACACGAGGTTGGGTAGGGTTAGATCTATTTGATAAGGCGAACTTCTAGTTTGGTCAAAGGTCATGAGATTTAAACAGGGCTAGCACTAGTCCTAACCCTAACCCTGGACCTAGCCCCAATGCTTACCCTAACCCTAACCTACACCCTTGCTAACAATCATGTGTCCTAACCTTATTTACATCTCAGTGACCTTGAAGAAAATTGAGCTGGCCTTAACAAATAGATATAGCCGGTTGGGTAGTAAACTCTACTTTTAGTCTAGATCATTGGCCTCCCCTGACCTATGAAACTTTGGAGGCTACTTACTGTAACATAATCAGTACTGAGGAAACCTTTCAAAGATCCTGTACCATACTGGATTTCAAATGTGGTACCATTAGCCCGATAGGACGTTGACTTGGTGCTATCATATTTATTATGTAATACTGAAATTAAACATAGAATGCTAGAAATATTTTCACAACATTTGGAAGGTTAAAGATACAATATGGGAGATTAGATAAAGAGCTGTCAGTTCTCACTATAATAGTTAAAAACTAGATCATGTAAAGGGAATTTGCTGAAAATTTTCAGTCAAATTGATCCTCCCTGAACCGAGTATTTAGCGATTGAATTTTGGGCCTAGCCTCGATCATCATTACTAAAGTCGGTACGATAAAAAACATAGTCTCGATTATCCATTATTTGATTTAATCAGAAGCAGCAGACTGCGTTCTAATCCAGTAAATATCACAGGCTAGCAATGCCATTAATAATTTATATAACATTTCAGGCATAAAGAAAGACCTGAAATAGGCAGATTTAGCTCTTGCATAATGTATGTTTAATGAGTTGAAGCAATCAATGCCATTAATCCAAACTACAATATTGTGGAAGTAGAATATTTTAACAGGAATAGAAGGAGAGGGGTTTAATATAAGCTATGCCTGTTCCCCAATCCCTATTCAGATACAAATCTTAAATAAAAATATTGCTTATAAAAAAAACAATAATAGCAAGCAAGGAGGAGAGAGAGAGAAATGGGGTTTAACGTCCACTCAACTCAAACTAGGTCATTTTGGGACAAACATATGGTTCAATTTAATTTCAATAATTCACTTGTGCTTAGGGGTCTTTAGCAGTGGGGGGAAACCAGTTGTGTTTTGTTAATCATGTAAAACTTACAACATGCAATGTCTGTAATGTGACATTTTTTGGATGGAACCCATAAGTTTGATGACCCGGTGTCAAAAACCACTTTAAAGCTCTGTTGAGGAGTTCCAATACCAATAACACCATAGTATTGAGCCTGAAATTACAAAATGAACGTTCATTATATCTAGAAATAACAGGATATTGACAGCCCGGGAAATAATGACCCTTAGTTGCACCTTACAAAATATCAGGCATCAATGGACTCGACGGGAAATAGTTGCACCTGAGAAAATATCTGACACCACTGGAATAGTATCAAGACATTTTGAACTTTGTGTTTGACGGATATCAACAAAATAAATAAAAACACAGAAATAAAACAAATCCGTGCTGGATAGAATGACAGGCACTAGCGGTACTGTGTCTGACAATGTCTGCAACAGGTGCCAGATTTACAGTCTTGGTCGCAGTCTACTGGTGCAGTTTGTAAGACAGCACCTTATCAGGCTAGAAGACTGGGAGTTTTGGCGATACAATCTGTGGATTAACAAGAGAGAACCACATTGGAAAATCCTTATCAAACACAAATGTGTAAACGGGATCTTGGTTTTTTTATCTCATATCCATTGTCGAGAGAAAGTCATTATGAACTTCCTCGGCGAACGCAGGTATCGTACACGGGACCTCCAGGTAAACGAGCCAACATCTTACTCACTGAGCCACTACAGCTCCTTACTCTATGGTCATATACTTTGACCCAAATCAAACAGATTTCACTTATTTAACTTACATCAAGATAATTTGAGAGAGGTTCTGGATCGGGTCCACCAATTTTCATATTAACAACACCAGCATTTTTATACTCATACTTTCTCTCCAGATTTTTTATGTTAACTTTCAAATCTTCTAGAGTCCGACGTACTGATTTAAACTTGTGTAGAGGCACTCTGAAATAAGGGTTATGTTCTAAATAGTAATTTTATTTATCAATATTACATAGCAAAGAACAGTACAAAAAAATATGGGTGATATTAATTCCATTGATCAATAAAGTAGGAATACAGTAGCCTTCAATATTATTACTAAGTACAATGTACAGTACAAAATATAAAATTGGGGTTATATATGTATCATAATATATAAAACCGCTTCTCAAAACAATCATAACTTTTTTTTCTTTGTCAAATTTCCTAAGTGTCATGACCACATAATTAAAAAAAACTAGTCTGAAACTAGAGTATTCAGTGGAGATAAAGGCTGGTTCAAAATTTTACTTGATTAATTCGCTTGCGTGTAGGTTTCTTTACCTGTAGGAGGAAACCGGAGGACCCGGAGAAAACTCATGAGGTAGGACAGGCGACCCTATTTCTTGTCCATGACAGGCCTTGTGCGATTTCACGTCCACGCATTTGACCACTAGACGGTAGACCCACCCCCACCCCACATGGGTGATGTGAGGGATTAGCTAATTAAATGGTTTGTTGAGTCAAATTCTTATTTCATGGAACTGTGAGTCGATATTTGCTGCGATAGAAAGCTAAGTTGCATTTCCGAATTCCTATATGAAACATTGATGCTGATTGGTTAATCGACTGACTGATATCATAGGGTCAAACATCGCTTAATTTGACCCCTGACAAGACCTTATCTTACGTAGTTCGGATGTTAGATGTTACATCCTCAGAATTTTTTTTTGATTAACAAATGACTAAATGATGCCGTGTCTTGCAATGCCTGGCTCTGCATCAGGAACGACTGACCAGAAAAAACCAGTGGATGTCCGCAGACGCAGAGATCAAATCTGGGACCTGAATTATTGTATAAATGTGCCAGCATTTTACTCAATGTGCCACCAGGATAGCCTACTGTTACAATACATGTACATATTATCATATCGATATATTATGTACTATACATGTATATGTAGGTTAATGTTACTGACAAAAAGATAATATGATGTACGCCCTCACATTTAAAGGAGCTAAATCGCTAACATTTGGGACCTAGATAAACTGATTCACATTCAATGGTTTCCGTTTTTACTCCAATTTCAAATCAGTTATGTTCGGCAAAATAAGCCAGCAGTCTCAAGCGAGTGCAAATTTCTAGCGTCTGGTTATTCCAGTCTACATACGCCGTTTGATTTGGTGCAATGTGTCTAGCCTCGTCCCTCGAGTCTAGACTTGATACAACTGGGGCTGAAGCGCATTATGGTACACGATTCGTGTACCAATGGTAAAATGTTTATTTTGTCTTAAATATTGGATATCAAAAGCCCATCTTTTTCCGGTAAGATCACAACATCAATGTTGATTTAATTTGACAAATAAATCGTGTTTTCAATGTTGAAGATTTTGGATGATATTGAGTTAGAGACTTAGCTACTTTAACAGTTCATATTTGTCTATCCTACTGATTATAAAATGCCCGCACAACAACCTCAACGGCCTAGTTATCATATCGGTAACTTTTTTTGTTTTGTCATGTAGTGTCATGTTATGTCATGTATGACAATGTCGGTGATGTCCCACTACATCAGTACACAGGTCCAAGTCCCAGCAATGGTTGAGCTTTTTTGTTTGACATCGAAGGAAAACATTGTTTCTGTTTGCAGACCACTTTTAACGTGCAAAATCCCGAATAGTGTCATCCAATACTTACCTAATCAGTGCGTCTGACAGACAGACAGCAGCTAAAAACAAAGAAACATAAAGAAGATTCATATTGTCGACCTCCTCAATCAAAACTTTGTTACAAGTAAATCAACCTTTTATGTGACTAACGTCAGCCTTGCAATCTGGATATTCGTCATATGATCAATCACTTCTTCACGTGCCGACTACAATATCCATGTTGCCGGGCACATTTAGCCGGTTACAATGACCCACGTGATTTGTCATATGATTTTGTATCACGTGGTATATATAGATCAAACGATCTCATTTTGAAAATTTAATTCATTAAGATGCTAATTAGGTAAATGCACCGGAAAAATGATGAAATCGACAGGAAAAAAGGGTTAAATTAGAAGTTTACACAAGTTGAAATAAAAACAAATAAAGTTTTTATTAGATAGATTTTTACATAAAACACCCCTTTTCGGGCAGCATGTAAATTATACATTATGGTATGCATAATAAATACATTCAGAAAAATGGATGAAAAATACATAAAAAGTGGATGAAAAAACATAAAACAAATTAAGATGTGTTTTTTTCACGACCATGCAAAATTCGAAAAACGTGATAATTATATAAGGCTTCGGTCAGCGGATTTGAACGAAACTTTTCCAATTGAATCTTCTATGAGTATGTTGTACTAAAGTAGTTTTGTCTGAAAGTTTGTAACTGGTTTTTCCTTCTAAATAGACATTTTAATTAGGTCTAATTTTAGATACTACTTTTCTGTCTCTGTTTCCACAAAACCACGTGCGACAATCACTGATTTTATCATTTACTTGATAAAGACGAGAGTATCCTCGTCGAAACTCAGTAATTGTCTATCCATAAAATTGTACCATGTGTTAATATGTTCAGTTACTAAATGCCAATCAAAGATGAGTTTATCTTTGTTTTTTTTTATTATTTTTTTTTTATTGTACAAAATTACCATGAAGATTTATACAATTTTTTTGCAAAAGATTTTTTTACATTTTTCAAATTTGGGGCGTAATATGGTTATTTATATAGGGTTTGCCTCCGGAAACATAATAACTAGAGCGAAATCCGCATTACCCTACTAGGGTGTCAAAATCGGTGAAAGTGCATTATTTTCAGGTTCTATTATACTGATCAACAACTAAGAACGTTTGTTTGTCAATAGCGCCCAAAGTATTGAAAAAATAGACCAACAAGGCTATTCTATACATCATATCCACAATGGATAATTTAAATTTTGACTATAAGCGGCATAAAACCGACAATACACCTTAAACGGGATTAACTATTTGTAAAGCCCAAAGACAATGACACAAGAATAAACAGTTTTAAAAGAGCGTTCACAAGGTTCAATAAAGTGAAACAAGGGCCATAACTCTAGACGTAATAAACAGAAATTGCTGAAATTCAATAGGATTCTTCGTCTCACTAATTTAAATAATGCATATAATTTTCAGAAATATCGAATGATAACTTTTGACGTTAGAGCATTCACAAGGATCAATAAAGTGAAACAAGGGCCATAACTCTAGACGTAATAAACGGAAATTGCTGAAATTCAATAGGATTCTTCGTCTCACTAATTTAAATAATGCATATAATTTTCAGAAAGATCAAATGATAACTTTTGATGTTAGAGCATTCACAAGAATCAATAAAGTGAAACAAGGGCCATAACTCTAGTCGTAATAAACGTAAATTGCTGAAATTCAATAGGCTTTTTCGTGTCAGTAACCTAAATAATGCATATAAATTTCAGAAAGATCGGATGATAACTTTTCACGTTAGAGCGTTCACAAGGATCAATAAAGTGAAACAAGGGCCATAACTCTAGACGTAATAAACGGGAATTGCTGAAATTCAATAGGCTTCTTCGTTTCACCAATCTAAATAATGCATATAAATTTCAGAAAGATCGGATGATAACTTTTGACGTGAGAGCGTTCACAAGGATCAATAAAGTGAAACAAGGGCCATAACTCTAGACGTAATAAACGGAAATTGCCGAAATTCAATAGGGTTCTTCGTTTCAGTAATCTAAATAATGCATATAAATTTCAGAAAGATCGGATGATAACTTTTGGCGTTAGAGCGTTCACAATGTTCAATAAAGTGAAACAAGGGCCATAACTCTAGACGTAATAAACGGAAATTATTGAAATTAAATAGGCTTCTTCATCTCACTAATGTAAACAATATATATCAATTTTGAAACAATTGGATGATAACTTTTGGCGTTAGAGCGTTCACAAGAAATTGTGGACGATGGACGGACGGACGGACGGACCGACCGACGGACGGACGGGGGCGTCGGCAATATACGTCCACATTTCAATGTGGGCGTATAAAAATCACATTATTTTAGTTTGTTCTCTGTACATCTCTTGCAAAATGTGGGCGTTTCTTGCATGGTAACCGCTGGTTTAATTTTTGTAATTAATTAAAATTGGTATTTTCACTGAATCGAAAACTGAATGGAATCGAGTTCATATAGGACTGAAAAAATATTGTGGTTGGGCAAAATGGTTTTAGCAGTAACTAGAAATTCATGATCAGGTCTTTTTTTTCAATACCTCATTTATTTATTCATTCATTCATCATTCATTCATTCATTCATTCATTCACTCACCCATATGGGGGAGTGACCTAACGCGTGCGCTTTAGATCATAAGGTATATCATTGAGTCAAATGGCGTGGTTTCGATCCCAAGCTTGAACCTGACACCCTTGATATTCCTAGCATATGTGGGATTTTGTTTTATTTACTTTTGTATAATGTGTTGTTTCAGTTGATTTATGACGTATTTTATAAGATTAAAGTCAACAAACCATCAATTTGATTTCATCAATGTGGCTTGTCAGGTTTTTGCATGGAAAATTCGAAAAATATTATTTCAGAAATTCATATTTGCCCAAAATTTTCCGTAAGGTTTGCAGTTACACGACTGATTATTATCAGAATTTTTATACTATGCCTCTGTACACATCAAAATCACAAAACATCAAATAGAGATCATAGATTTGGATTTATACACCACAGACTTTAGTTGCATTTTTCTCAAATTGAATGTCATGTGGCTTATCAAGTTTATGCATGCTGCCACAGAATTGGTCGGTGTGAGGTTTTGCGACCCCAGCGACGACACTCTGCTTTCATTTAATGAAATTGAACAGGTTTAATTTCTCTTATTGCATAACAGATGCGAACCGTAGTAGGGCCTATGACAAAACATTATACTCATTGATTATTGGATATGGCGGCCATTTAGGACAGAGATTTAATAGAGAAAATAGTTTTCTGTGCGTAGAATGGATCTTGACCTAAACGACACAATAACCTTCAACTGTCTACTGGTAGATAAGATAATGCTCTATCGTATATAAGATTAAGATGTAGATTTACCGTATCTATCAAATACAAAGGTCATTAAATAACAATTATACACGTAGAAATAATTGTGGTTTGCGGCTGTTTGCTTATTGTGGAAGCCTGATAATATAAGCAGAGGAACCACCGATTGCCTTTTTAAGAGAGAGAGAGAGAGAGAGAGAGAGAGAGGGGGGGGAGGCGTGAGTGGGGGGGGGGGGGTATGAAAGTGTTGAGTTAGAGATTTGACTCCTTTAAGTGCTGTATCATAATCAGGGCCCGTGCGAGGTGGGGAGGGCTGATAGGGCAGCCGAGACACTTGATCAGGGACCCGGAGTCTAGAGGGGCCCAGAGGTATGCCAAGTAATGCTTTTAAAAAAATGTTGCTATAAATTAATAAAAAGAATACACTGTTACTTGGTCGTAAAATGAAAGAAAACCGGTGACTTTTATGAATGTTTGTACCTACTATAGTGACGTGGGTAGGATTAGAATCGAACTCTGACAGTCCGCTTATTTTGGAAAAATTGGTGAATTAAAAATGTAAGCGACCTGCCCGTGCATTTTCGCGCCGTACACATGAGTCCCTGTATTTAAAAACATGTTTCATTCTTATCTTATATTGCTAATTATCTTAATTCTAAGCTTGTTTGTATATATTATATATGTTCTATATTCTACTGTAACTTTAGTCTGATGATCGGCTCGCCCTAGCGATACCTATCTCGTTATTGTGACACTTGTTTATTAAAAGTACAATTTACCTATTTATCTGAGTTATCGATACAACCCCTCTAATACAGCACTACTACGGCACAGCAATACCGGCATGAATACACAATGACTATTGGGAACACTCGCGCCACGGCTGCAAGATGGGTCTCGCTGGCGATATCATCCTCGGTGGGAATGACAAGAATGAAATGAATGAAATGAAATGAGGTTTAGCACCCTACTGCTCTGCCCCGACTGGGCTAATAAAGACGGGCATACGCCATACAGTGTTTTATGAGGGAAATTTTGCCAGTTCCGCGGTCTTGCACCTCTAACAAGGGGAAATCACGCCGGAAAATCCCAATGAATTATCTCGGCCAACACCGGGAACGAACCTCCAGTCTAGTGAGCAAGCGTCTTACACTTTTATTTTCAACTGCTTTACAGGCGATGGTGTTTTAAATGCTGAAGAATTTGATGCATTTAATATAGCTCTTGCAACAGAGAACGCTAATTAAGTAAATGTTGTTTATACGATACAGGTAAATATGTTTCAATCATTACAGGTAGTGTGTTTAGTATTTCGGGTGGTAGGGAGCTACGGTGGCTCAGCGAGTAAGATATTGGCTTGCTAACGTGTAACGTGGAGGTGCCGTGTTCGATCCCTGTGTTTTCCGAGAAAGTGCATCAGGATTTTTCAGCGTGGTTCCCTCTTATCAGTGGTGCCTGGCAAAGGACAACGAATAGTCGTTTGGATGGGAAAATAAAACCGAGGTCCCATGTACACATTGACAGATATTACACCGTATGGCATATGCCCGTCTTCATTAAACCCCATTTCTTTCTGAATGTAAGAAAACCATAGACCCCGTTTTCTCATTTTTGATTAACATTAAATTTTATGTTTTTATTTCAGATTTGAACAAGATTAGATCATATATGAACAGCTGTCATATCAAATAAATTTATTGCAATTTGAATGCTTTTACTTGAATTCGTAACATGGGAGGTCAAACCTATCGGATAGGTTTAAATGAAATGAAATGGGGTTTAACGTCCTGTTGGTATGCACCGACTGGGCTAATAAAGACAGGTATATCCCATACAGTGTGCTATCCGGGAAATTTTACCTACTCTTATATCGAATTCCAACTAACAATATGAGTGCATACTCATATTTGTCCCATCCGAACGACTATAAATTGCCCTCTGTCCAGCTCCAATGACAGGGGGGTCCACTTTCTGCACTTAGGGGTCTTTAGCCGGGGTAGGAAACCGGTGAACTCGGAGAAAATCTACAAGGTTAGACAGGCTTTAGCAGAATACTTTAGAGAGATAGAAATGGGGTTTTGCATCCACTCAACCCACATTGGCCATTCGTGGACCTAGATGTATTTAGCAGTGGGAGTAAACTGGAGAACTTGGCGAAAATCCATGGGGTTAGGCAGGTGACCCTATATATAAGCTTGGGATTGAAATCATGCCAGATGACTCAATAACAAACCTTATGGTCTAATATCACATGTGTTAACCACGTGATGCTAATAAATAAACTCAAGACAAAGATTTCAAAGATGTTCTACATTTTTTTTATTTTAAAAAAAAATATGTTAACCTACAGCATAATTTAATTTTCACTAATAGAACAATAAATAATTATTATTTATAAAGTATGTCATTATTATATTCCAAACTATTCTACAATATATATATAAAAATAAATATTAGATAAAAGCTGATTATATATTAAAATTAATATGAGAAGCTCCTGGAAATCTTTCTCTAAGAGAAGATTCCTTTCGAAGTTGAATAAATATTAATATTAAAGGCCTAGCCAGTGAAAGATATAATATATTGAGTAAGTCATGAATATGTATAATATAGGAGAAAATGATTATGGTAGACGAATCCAGCAATTAAAGTTAAATTACATTCAATATTTACATGTAATATTAACTCATGAATATGTATAATATAGGAGGATATGATTATTCAAATTCGATGATTCAAGAAAATAAAAATTAAATATTTAAATCTAGTATTTACATATTAATATTTCACGAATAAATTAGTTTATCACAGATAAAGCTATCACATAAATCATTACATAGATCACAATAATAATACATTATTATGTATCACTGTTAATCTGATACCATTAGACCACACAAGTGATCATTACTTTAAACTAATGTTTAGTATTATACAAACTTTATAGTTGTACAGATATTATGGCTTGATTTTATGCTAAAAACAACTCTTACGACATATTTTATGCTTAAAAGCAAGCCTTGACATAAGGCACATGTTTACAGACTTTATCCGACACAACTTTTCACAAAACATATAATATTATAATAAAAAAGGTTGTGTGGTAATTTGTACCTGATAACGTCTACGACCGGTGCCTTATATCCAGGCTTGTATACATCGTGGAATAATTTGTACTTGACAAAGTCTGTGACAGGTGCCTTATATCCAAGCTTGCTGAAAGTCTTCCAATTTTTACTGCATGTATTTCATACATAAATACTTTACATAACAATTCTTGACCCTTTAACAGTTTCACGGCCAGCACACTGGGTTCCTGGGAATATGTTGGAAACTAGACGTAAAACAAGAGAATGTTGCTACGTTTTTATGTTGGCACGAAAATCCTGCTTATAGAACTTCTTGGAGAAACAAGACAACAAAATCCTGTTCCAGGACAGTCATTCCTCCAGGAAGAAGACCATAAAATTGTGATTCTCGATAGTCATTTTTCTAATAAGAAGACCACATAATCCTATTTCCACCGACATGAAACAACAAAAGACAACAAAAGAGATACCGTGGAAACTCCAATTTCTTAATAACGAAAGTGGAAAGAGATGCTATAAAAATAATAAACATTGCTCTTTAATGCCAAGAACATTTTGTTATAAACAACATTATATACATGAAAATAAAAAATAAAAAATAAAAATTTCATTCTTGAAAATAAACATAAGGCAAAGTTTCTGTACAGATCAGCACTTAATAACAATTTTAAAATCACCGACTAGTGGAAATCTGAAATCAGGAGACGGTATCTTGGTTCATCTTGGTTCAATATAACATTATTATACTAAACAGAAAAAAAATATGTCCCCAGTGGAAGTATTTGGTGGTTGCTCTTGGTTCAATATAACATTATTATACTAAACAGAAAAAGATATGTCACCAGTTGAAGTATTTGGTGGTTGCTCTTTTCAAATTGGTAAAACGATCTTTAAACTTCCAACACTTAATTTCAATCTGACTTGAAATAATATTTGTTTCAATTACATTATTAGACACTATTGTGTTTGGTGGATTTATCGTTTTATAAATGGGACATATTATTATTTGTTATTATTTATACAGCTCTCAATTGTATTGTGGGGGGGGGGGGGGGGATGGCCGAATGGTTTATCATAAGGCCTGTCATTGAGTCAACTTGTGTGATTTCGAATTCCCGGTTGTATGTGACAAGGAGTAGGGTCGCCTGTCCAACCTAGTGGATTTTTTCCGGGTCCTCCGGTTTCCGCCTTATTGAAATAAAATTGAACCATGTGTTAGTCCCGAAATGACCTAGTTTGTGTTGAGTGGACGTTAAACCCCATTTCTCTCTCTCTCTGTATTATAGGGAATGTATTAGGGTTTCAATAATCCAACTATATACTAAAACACTGCGTGTGCAATAAAAAGTGTGTAAACATTTATAAACTTTGATAATGATTGAACCTCTCAAAGCCAAAATTAAATGCTGGTTATATACAATTGTATACACTAATAATTATTATCATTACAATCAAGGAATTGGTGACTTTGGTGGACAGTGTGGGTTAATTTTATCAAAGTGCACATTATAACTAATCATAACAGACCATCGCTCCTATATTAGTATATAACAACTGAGTGATTATCTATAATATAAATACACAGGAAATGCATCACATAATCATCACAGTTAAAAGCTTTGACCATACATCAAAAGGCACAGTGAGTTTTGACAATGAGAGAAGTTTGTACCGAACTATGTCTGGGGAAAATTTTTGTGTCAAATATATCTAATAAATAGTTCCAATGAATATATTCTAAATAAAATATCTGCTTTCAACAAATTTTAACTCTTTAACAATGACAAACTGTTAACAACGGCTTCTGGTGTTCTTTATAGTATCAGTGCTATTGCCTCACATGTTAAGAAACACAACCTCTAATTGGCTGATAAATATGTAAATGATGAAAACTAGCCAAGAGAAGTAAAAGCTTTCCATAGTTAAAAAGTTATATTATTGTTCATCTATCGGTATTTGAAATCATCCATTGTTGTTTTTAAATGGTATTAGATTTCTACATCATTACTAGAAGTGGTAGGAAAAGCGTCATTTAATAATTTTTTCATCTTTTTCTTGGCGTCAACTTGCTGTTTTTTAAGTCGCTGAATTTCTTCAGCAAGGAAAGATTCGTTGACTAACACCCTGGCTTTAACAGTCGCTTCCTGTCGTCGTTGGAAGAGTAGACGTTTTCGATGGAATTCGTACAAAAGTAACAATTGGTCGTCTGTAAGATTCTGTACTTTCTTAAAATATAAAATATTTTAAAAACATGAATCTAGAAATGGAGGCTGATCACAGAAATCTTACAACATGGTATTTAACAAAATAAAATGAAATAAAATTGCAACCAGGGTTTTAATCCATTTTGATCAAAATATATTTCTTGATCATTTATTATGCAAAACTCAGTTCAGTATAAAGTACTAATTATATCATTCATGAAACTGGTCTAAAAAATAACGGGAATTCAACATAAACCAGGATTGAATTGCAAACTCAGTATAAAGAACCCTTCACAATTACGACCACATTATACATGTATCATTCATTCCACTAACTGGGGTATACGAAATTATCCCATCAATATAAAATGAAACGAAATGGAATGAAATGGCTTTAACATCCTATTGTTCTGCACCAACTAGGCTATGAAGACAAGTATGCTGTAAACGTATGCATGCTACTAGTGATACCGTTGATAAATTTTTAGCAGCAGTTCACAAAACAAAACGGTTCCTTGCATGTTTATTGACTGACAGTTAAGTTCTCAAGCTGGTCATTTTTACTACCTGTCAGTCAATGCTGGCAGATAGTACTGATACTAGAACCCTGCTACCAATAGATTAAGAGATTAGAGTATACACATGCTGTACTTTGTTCGGGGGTGGGGAGATTGCTTTGTGTTGTACCATTATAAATTAAATTTCATATTTCCATTTGTCTACGATTGTCTTGTTGCCAACAAACAAATCCAGCTCTGTCTTTGACACAGTCTCATAAAGTTGAGGTACTGGTCTTTATTTGGGAATTTATTTTTAATTTTACATTCATAGATTAAGAGAGAGTTTGGACAATAATTTCCGAAGTCAACAAAGTTACTTACATCAGGCATTGACTTTGCTGTTTTTCTGTTTAAATCTTTGTAACTCTTCAACATCTGGGCTTTTATCTCTGCATATAAATCCTTAAAAAGAGAGAGAAAAATTGTGCTTAAAAACGGATTTACTGTAAAGCTTTTTTAAATATCAGCTATGCAGTTGCCTCAAATTTATCAAAAAGTGGTGACCAGTGTTCAAGAAAGTAAACATGCCCTTGACTTTATTTAAAGCTAACTATCACTCAGTGAGTAAGATACTGATTCCATAACCAGGAGATTCCAGCTCGATTCCCCTTGCCTGTCGTGTAGGACAAAGGGGTCTGGCAAGGAACAATGTCTAGTCATTCGTATGGTAAAAAAAAAATCTTGTGTATGCATTGGAGTGCCCACAAAGAACCTTTGACAGTTCGAATTCAGTGAAGAGCAGCCAAAATCTCTCCATAGCCCATCTGAACAGAACAGCACTTATTAATTTAAATTAACACTCTTTGTGTATTAGTGGTGGTCGAGCGGTAGAACACTGACCCCTCAATGAGGATGATTGTTTGGTTGTGTGGGTGTGTGTGTGTGTGTAACTATAGAACGGAAAGTCACATATTGCTGATTATCGATAGGGTTCATGTTCTCAAGACTGCAATACTTCCACCAATTTCTAAAAAGATCTTTTAAGAACTATAGCCTCTACCCCTTTCACATGTTTTTGGAAAAGTGAGATAACCTTGGAACAGAAAGTCAAGGAACAATGAATATAAATACATTTCGTCCTATCTTGACCACAATATGTGTGGTTGATAACAATGAGCTCCAAATATTTGCACATCTGAGACTATATATTATTACCTGTGGCTTTTTAGTTTTTCTATTTTCATATAAAATAATCTCTTCTTCAGGCTGAAATTATAAAAAATAATATTTCAGTTAATCGCCAGTGTTGTACATGACAAAATATAAATTGGTTAGATCTCAGGGTCAGGGCTTTCACTTTCAAAATTTTGTCAGTAAAGTTTTGACGTATTTATATAACTCAAGACTAAAAAAATATGACTATTTCTGCTTTCTAGCATTAATTTTCACATCTTTTTAATACATTTAAATGCAGTTTTCACATAAAAACTACCTATTGTATTTCAAATACTTTGAAATTCTAATTTTCTGGCATTAAGATGACTGACAAATAAGTTTTCCAGTCACTTAAGTCTAGACTGGCAAATATTAATGAAACATGACCCTTGATGGAGACATATAGAGTTGATGACAAGTCTGAGAATATTTTGTGAAACCGGGGACTGGTTAGTGTGGTGTGGACATTAAACCTCTTTTTTCTCTCTCTATGAAAGTCCCTGCTGTCCAAATTAATAAAATGATATTTGTAATTTTAAATCACACTTACTTTCTGTTTTGATCGAGGATTGTTATTTTTTATTTTATCATCATCACTTTGACTCACAGTCTAAAATATAATATAATAGGCCTGATTATAATATTATTCATAGTATAAATAGTGGACCTAATGAAACTAGCAGTATTATCAACTGTGGGTTATTCACCAGACCACCATCTACTCTATGTCAAATTCCTGGAGCCACAGTGGCTAAGTTAGTAAGATGCTGCCTCGCTAGCCTGGAGGTCGTGGGTTTGCTCCCAGTGTTGGCCTAGAAAGTTCACCCGGATTTCCAGGCGTGGTTTCCCCTTGTCATTGGTGCAGTACGGAGGGCCTGACAAGGACAGCTGTCTAGTCTAGCTGTCTTGGATGAGATGAGAAACCGAGGTCCCCTGTAGACATTGCGTGCACTTAAACGACCCTGTGGCAGTTGGTATTTGCTAAAAGAGTAGGCTGTAGCGCCGCTGCCCTGGCAAAACTTCCCTCATAGCACACTGCATGGTTTATGCCTATTTTTATTAGCCCTGTCAGAGCAGAACAGTAGAACGTTTAACTCCATTTCATTTTTTTTTTTATTAAATTCCTGGTTAGGAGCAGGTGACATGTAATTATATTAAGACTGCCTGGTGACTACCATGTGATATATAATTATACTATACTATAAGGCTGACCTTAAAAATATCTTTGTTTCGCCAAACCCGACCCACAATCGAGGAGAAGGGTCGGTAGGTCGGGTTTTTTTTTCAGATTTTTTTTTAAAGAGCTAATTTGACAGCTTGATAATTTTCTGGGGGGGGGGGGGGGGAAACATTTGTCTTTTTTTATTGTCAAACAAATCAATGAGTATGACATCGGGATTTTTCGTGATGCACGACTCCGAGACTCGCACACGATTTGCCACGAACTCTAAGTGTGAAACCCCTTCAACACGTTTTTAACGATCGTGCGGGTTGTGCCTTCATTTTTCTCGAAAACGGATATTGAAAATATCTTCGTCATTTTTAAAACGACGCCCCACAGACATAGAGGCAGAATCATTTCGTGGGAATAGACGTGCTTTCGTCTGCAACCATTTTGTTGAGAAGCGACACCTATAACGCTTTCGTCTTGATCAACCAGTTTCAATAATGAATCAAACTATAGCCATAGTAAAGGGAAATAACTCTCGTGATATATTTCAGGTTGACACACAAAATAAAATAAAAAGATCGCGGAAAAGTGCAATAAAATAATTTAAGTCGGGGGTGGTTTTAGTTAGTCGGTCGCGTTAGGCGAAACAAAGATATTTTTAAGGTCAGCCTAAGATTACCTGATGACGAGCAGGTGACTTGTAATTATGTTAAAATTGTCTGATGATGACCATGTGACATGTCATATATTAAGATTACAGGTGACATAATAATTGTTAATACTGCCTGATTAATTACCTGATTAGGACTGCGTGGCGTAGATTCATGGCTACTGTCTCGCCTACGTTTATCATCAGGTCTTTGAGGTTTTTTTCTTTCATTCTTAAATAAAATATCAAAGAATACATTCACAGGTTGTAAAAAAAATGGGCCGTTTTAAATCCACGTCGTGACTTGATTTAGGGATGGTATTTTGATTATGTTTTCTTTATTAAATATTGGTTTTTAAAGGAATCTGCTTAGATTCACCATGAAGGGGAGATAGAAATGGAACCTGTTTTAAATCCAATTGAATCCAAGCCGTGACATTATTTAGGCATGGTATTTTGATTATGTTTTCTTTATTAAATATTAAGTAATAAGAGCACTGGTACATATTTTGATTATGTTTTCTTTATTAGATATTAAGTAATCAGAGTACTGGTACATATTTTCTGGCATAGTTCCCACTTGTTAGTGATGGAGGACAGTGGGCCTGGTAGGGGCTAACGTATAGTCATTCAGTTGTTCGGATGGGACGAAAAAAGCGAGGTACCATGTACACATTGGCGTCCCTGCAAAAGAAACCTTTGCAGTTGGAATTCAAGATAAGAGTGGACCATAGCGCCGCTGTCCAAGCAAATTTTTCCTCATAACACACTGTATGGCTTATGCCCGGCTTCACTAGCCCACTCGGAGCAGAACAGTAGGACGTTTAATACCATTTCATTTACAAACATCATCTATTTACCTGTTGATGTTTTAAAGACTCTGGTGAATTATCAGAATCATATACCTCATCATCAGAATATTCATTCCAGTTATCATCTTTTGGCTAATATAAAATAAATCAACAAACTAAAATATAAATAACCCATAAAACAAAACTAAAATAAAATAAAAAATAATCGGAACAAAAGTAAACAGAAAAATATAACTAATATCGAAAACAGAACCACTTAGCGAGAGAGAGAGAGATGGGGGTTTAACATCCCTTAACACAAACAAGGTGATTTCGGGACTAACATATGGTTCAATTTTATTTCAATAACACAATAACCCACAGCCTTGTATACCAAAAATGAAGTCAAATTTTAAAATTCGAGTAATTTCTAATTAGCAACAAGATATCCTGAACGGCTTATGAGATATGCTCTGAAAACAAAACAGAAAACGAAAGATCTAAGGATGGACCCTCTATAAGTTATGCCCCCATCAGACCGAGATGGAGTCCTTACTGCGCTGCTGCGACCGTACCGTGACCAGAAAATGCATAAGGTCGCCGGCAAACGTGAATACACCGCGAGAAAATGTCCCGAAAAATTACAAACTTGAAAAAAAAGCTTTGTTCTCACAGCTTTCCAGGCCAGATCACAGAACCTTGGTGTTTATTTTGAGCATGCTCAAAACAAACACCGTGGCTCAGCGATCATTGGCGACCATGGAGACCAAAGCACAGTAAGGACACTATCCCGGTCAGACGGGGGTATTACTTTGGCATGTGATAGTAAATTTAAAAAAAAGAAACCCAGAAATTAAAACAAACAGAACCTTTGCCACTCAAAATAAAGCAATAACATGATGATTTATAAGGGTTAGGAGTAGTCATGATTGTAATTCACAAGCACAGATAAAATTGTAATTTGTAAACTAACTAGTAAGGCAAAAAAATATAGTGAAAACATACCCTAGATCCATGTCTAGATTTTGATCTATCATCATCCTGAAAACAAAATTGATTTAAAGGCATTTAGTAATTTAATTAGAATCAATTCTATAGACTGAAGTTACTGAGCGCTGTTTAACCCTTTAGTACTTGGCCCATCAAAAAATGTCCGTAAATACTGCACCATAGACAGCCCAGGTCACGAAAACAGTGGTGGTGCCCGCCAGTAAGTAATATACATTTCTACAATACAGGAAGCAACTCATGTAACTTAGACGGTTGTAGGTGCTCTAAGGAACAGTACTTTCAAGTGGTTTTGAGCTATTCTGGGATATATGTATATGAAATATATCACCCTACTCTAATTTTCTACAAGGAACTATGCCAGGGATAATCAATATTTATATCTACTAATGGGTTAGAGAATCATTTCAAGGGATCTTTTAAGTGCATGGCAATGTGTACACAGGACCCTTACAAAAGAACTAGAGGCTGTTGCTTGCCAGGCCTTCTGTCCAATTTCGAAAATCTCTAACTTTCTTGGTTAACACCGGAATGAACACAAGACCTCCATGTGAAGGAGTCAATCAGTGCTTTATTCACGATGAATGAGGAGAAGACAACTATATATATCACCTGATATTTATCTCTGGACGTTGATCTATCAGAATAACTATCTTCACTATAATAATCATCACCATCATTATTTCTACCATTTCTACGTGATTCAGATATCTCACTGTCATCTTCTGAATTGGAATATGTCCTTTCATCTCTCCTTGGCTTTCTTCCATTGCTCTGTCTACTTTTTCCTTTATCCTGAGAAAGTCAAATCAACATAAAATATATGAAACATGTGCAAGAAAACGTGCAATAATGTAGCAGTGTGGTTTTGCTACTCAAAAAGAATAATAAATGTACATTTGTAGTGAGCCAAATCGATCCAAAAACATGCTCAAAGCGCAATTAAAAACAACATACACAATGATCCAAAAGTCTAATTCTCGTAACATGCCCCAAATAAGTGAGTCTTACCCTCTGATTTGAGGGGTGTCAAAGTCTCAATAAATGAGTTGAAATGAAGCGGATAGAAAATACTAAGATGGCTAATCAATTCAATGTGTCCTAATTGCTTCCCAAGATAGCTTTGAGCACAAAACACACAAAATTTTATTGCCTAAAGCAGAAAATAAAAAATTTTTTGGCAGTTTTGTGTCAAAGTTTGGACACAACCTAAATTGAATATAACAGTCAATCATGCAAAATCAAAAATTCTTTTTTCACCGTGAAGGATATAAAACTATGAATGGCTCTTTAAACAGGTAATCTTTAATATCCCCTGTGTGAATTACAGAAACGTGTGATAAATATATAAGTGACAAACGGTGAATTGTGAATTAAGTACCTTTTCTCTACTGCCATGCGATATTAGTTGACTACTTTCATTTTCACTTTCATTTTCACTCTCTGATAGAAAACTATCCTCAGAATACTGGCAATAACATAAATATATCAAACTTAATACATGCTGATGGTAGATTAATATTATATAGTTCTTCCACAGGGACTTGAAGTGATTAATAATACAGAGAAATATTGATTAAAGGTGACCAACCATTTATGTCCAATGTGTCATATATTATTCGTATGACTTCAGATGTACCTTATAATTTCAAAAGATTAAAGATACATATGTAAGATTTAGATTAAGAGCTGGCCGTTCTTGCTATAATAGTTAGTAAAATGAATATATTGAATGTTTTATTCAAATTATTTTATTCTGATTGAAGATATTAACCTTTGAACGTTTGACAAGAAGTATGCACTGATTGTAACCACCCTACTGCTTTTTCGAAGCTTAGCCTCAATTCACAATTTTTAAATTAAATCATTAAATGGCTGAACTGTTCCAATCTACATAAAATTGGACCTTCCGATGGCATCGGATCATGATTAAAATCTTGTCATATCAATAAATGTCTAATTAATAGTTTATATACCGGTAACATTTAAGGCCTAAAGAAACATCTGAGATAGGCAGATTTAGCTCTTGCATAATGTATGTTTAAATAAAGAAATAAAAAAGAACATAGATTGAAACTATGTGGTTGAAATGTCAGTTGACTGTAAAATACCATTTTGTTCAGTAATAGATAGGAGAAAATTACAGACAATAATTACACTGGGGTTTTTTTACATCATAATTGTCATGAGACCCAATGTGCCACTTGGACTGACCATCTCTGGAATGAATCAATAAATATTTTGTCCCTATCCCTATCTTTATTTTTTATTTTCTTTTTTATTAAAGTTGAGACTATACATCTGACTAATCTTTAGTACAAAGGAATCTGGTTAAAATTGACTGTGATGATACAAAGGATAAAACAATATGATGTTTCCCCATCTTTCAGTCAAAAGGTTAAAGGGGCATTATGGAAGATTAGATAAAGAGCTGTCAGTTCTCCCTATAACAAGATAATGGATTTAATCATCAATGAGCGTTAAGTGGCAGATCAGTTCAAATCCAGTAAATATCGCAGGCTAGCGATGACATCGAGAGTTGATTATGGTCTGGATAAGTTAATTAAAGATACATTCCCAGGTACAAACTCGGTGATTTGACTAAAAACATATTCAAACTAATTAATTTATCAAAATTTTGCTTCAAAACCTTCTCAAAACATTGCAATTGTCAGGGAATACACGGCTATAAAATCTTGATCAAAGGCGTCATGTTTGTGTCACGTGACACAACGGGTGCGATGTTGGAGGAGAATTCATTGCATACAAAAGACGATGTTGCCTTTATCGCTGACTATTTATTACAAATATCGAATCCTAATTAAATTCTCGGATTATCCACTGCCCGCCTCTTTTTCCATGATTTTTATCGCAGAAAGTGTTGTACGTCTAACTCTTCATAAAGTTTATCAATATGTACATCAAGCGCTTAATCTCCGCGTGCAACCTTCGACGTCACACGTGCAGACACTCCTAATCGTTGGGCTGTCGATTAGGGAAACCCGTACATTTTTGTCCTGTATGCGCTCCATGAGTGTTTTTCAGGGAATCCAGTATTTTTCTAGTAAGAGTGGATATTTCTACTTTCCATATTTACCAAAATTGCTATACTTTTATTAGAAATAACCACCCGATAAATACTTTTCTTGGAACGTAGCTTTAATGTCTAATTAATAATTTAGATAAACTTTCAGGCCTAAAGAAAGACCTGCAATAGGCAGATTTACCTCTTGCATTTTGTATGTTTAATAGTTTGACACAAGTTTCTGTCTATTATCAACCTAACAAGTCCCAGTGGATTATGAGTTTACCGATTAAAATAGATCGCAATGCATTCATGCTACCTGCAAGTTCTACTAATGTTTTAAATGCATAAGAATAATTTCTCTGAAATTATCTGAATTTTTTACTGAAATTTTCCGATAAGAATCATTCACTGAAATTTTCTGATAAGAATTGATCACTAAAATTTTCCGATAAGAATTTTCACTGAAATTTTCTGTTAAGAATTTTTCACTGAAATTTTCTGTTAAGAATTTTTCACTGAAATTTTCTGGTAAGAATTTTTCACGGAAATTATATAAGAAATTTAAAAATGCCCTAAAATAGTCAATTATAAAGCTCTAGTGTGTAATATTATAAATACCTGTTCGTCTGATTCATAGCTTCTAGGAGTTGATTTCTTACTTCCACTTGACCTGTAACTTTCTTCTTCTGAATACTGAAATCCAATTTAATATTCAACAGCAGAAATTCAGAGCTTTACTTATAATCTCACAGTAACAGAACATTCAGAGCTTTACTCATAATCTCACAGTAAAAGAACACTCAGAGCTTTACTCATAATCTCACAGAAAAAGAACACTCAGAGCTGTCCCAACTCATTTTATTAGCCAAAACAACAGCCTAAATCCAAGTAGCAATGGCTAATCCAAAACTTGTCTATTTCTTTTTCAAATAAAAATTTATTACGATAAAGAAATATTATCTAAATTTGATATCGGAAGCATCTTGGCCTGTCAATCAATATTATGGTATTACTTACATCGTTGTCATCGTCGTCATGGTGATCAGATTTACGTGGTGAAGATGTCTGACTACTTGATCGAGAACTTTCGTCTCTTTCTTCTGGTTCATTCTAAACAAATTCATACAATAAATTATAATAACAGCATTAGATAAAAAACAAAGGCCTACAGAAGATGGAGCTAAAGCTGCCGATTGTCATTTAAAGGATTTTGAAGAATCCCTTGCAAACGACAATGGCATATAGTAACTGGAAATTATCATATAAGAGAGAGAGAAATGGGGTTTAACGTCCACTTGACACAAACTATGTCATTTCAGGACTAACATATGGTTCAATTTTATTTCATTATTTTGATTGTGTGCAGGGGTCTTTAGCAGTTTGAGGAAACCTGAGGACTCAGAGAAATCCCACAGACGACCCTACTAATAATCATGTGCAAGCAGGGAATCTAAACCACACCAATTAACTCAATGACAGATCTTATGATTCAACGAGCATGCTGCACACATTAACCATTCGGCCACCCAACCCCCCAATCCTACTCCTCGCAATGTTCCGTTTGATTATACCTAATCCCACTAAACACTGCTTTAACGAAAGCAAATTTCTGTTCCAAGTTATGACTGGTCAATGGTACGATTAACAACCAATAGTTAACTGCGTTACAAAAGCATTAAGCTTAAAACAGAGCTCGAAATTAGACCAAATATGTTTACATAACGTTACGTCATGACTCACGATTTTATTATGCCCAATTAACCAGTGCATAGCAGGATATTGAAGAAAAACTAATTGCGTGACAAATGAGGCTATCAAATAGAAAACAATGTAAACAATACTGTTTGGAGACGAACATACTTTCACCGTTTTTAATACCTTAAATCGCTGTCCAAAGTTTTAGGGAAGACCCTGATTAAACGAAGAGCTGTCATGTTGCTGTACCTGGGATAGATTTGATTGAACGGGAAGAATAGACACACTCCCTCAAAAGATCAAGTATCAGAAGCCAATCCAACAATGACCAAAGAGGGATTTCTCGGGCCATTGCTTCTGGAATATGCCCCCCAATTATCAAACAAAACACTGCTATAGCACAATAATTCTGTTGTCAGTATTTATAAACATATGACGAAAGTTGAATCTCTAAAAGGAATATCAGTCCAAAGATAAGTTGCCAGGCAACGAAACATACGCCCACAGCAGCTATATTGTCCGAGCGGTCGACAAGGGTTGTCACATATTTATTCTTTTGTAGGTGATTAGGGGAATTTAATAGACAATTTCATACAGATGACATTATCATTTTCGTCGTTTGAGGGTTCACAAGGTTCTAAAAACTAAAACAAGGGCCGTAACTCTGGAAGTAATCTACAGAAATTGTTGAAATTCGACAGGCTTTTTCATTTTACTAATTCAAATAATGCATATAAATTTCATACAGATCGGATGATAACTTTTGTTGTTCGAACGTTCACAAGGTTCAACAAAGTAAAACAAGGGCCATTACTCTAGAAGTAATTAACGGATATTGCTGACATTCAATACGCTTCTTTATTTCACTAATTTAAATGATGCATATGAATTTGATACAGATTAGGTGATAACTTTTGCCGTTTAAGCGTTCACAAGATTTAACAAAGTGAAACAAGGGCCAAAACTCTAGATGTAATTAACGGAAATTTGCTGAAACTCAATAGGCTTGTTCGTTTTACTAATTTAAATGATACATATAAATTTCATACAGATCTGATAATAACTTTTGTCGTTAGAGCATTCACAAGATACAACAAAGTGAAACAAGGGCTACAACTCAGGGCATAATTAACGGAAATTGCTGAAATTCAATAGAATTCTTCGTTGAACTAATTTAAATGATGCATATCAATTTCAAACAGATCGGATGATAACTGTTGTCATTAGAGCGTTCACAAGATTCAACAAAGTGAAACAAGGGCCATAACTCTACATGTAATAAATGGAAATTGCTGAAATTCAACAGGCTTCTTTGTTTTACTAATTTAAATGATGCATATAAATTTCATACAGATCGAACAATAACTTTTGTGGTTAGAGCATTCACAAGGTACAACAAAGTGAAACAAGGGACATAACTCACAGCGTAATTAACGGAAATTGCTGAAATTCAATAGGCTTCTTCGTTTCACTGATTTAAATAATGCATATCAATTTAAATTTCATTTAAATGATGCATATAAATTTCATATAGATTGGTTGATAACTTTTGTCGTTAGAGAGTTCACAAGGTGCAAAAAAGTGAAACAAGGCACATAACTCCAGAAGAAATTAACAACATATATCAATTTCAAAACAATCAGATGATAAATGTAGTCCGTAGAGTGTTCACAAGAAATTGTGGACGACGGACGGACGGACGGACGGACGGACGGACCGACAGACGGGGGCGACGGCAATATACGAACACATTTCCATGTGGGCGTATAAAAATGGTTCAATTCAATTCAGCGTTTACAAATTGAAAATTTCGCAACATTTGGCATGCGCATCCTATTTAAAGAAGCTAGCTCCAACTACGTGTGCTGGGGAAAATTGATTGATTGCCCTTTTTTTCGCGTACCATTGATTTTTTAGTACATCTAGAGTGGATATTGTTTGATAAATGCAAATGACGATAAACATCTTTAATATCTGTAAATGAGTATAAAGATACATAGAACAAAAAAAATAACAAACCCTTTTCTGTCGTCGTGGTGATGGTGAGGGGGTTCTGTCAGGTGATTGTGGACTTCTTCGCCCTGACTGTGCATGATGTTCATCTTCCTTCTCCTAATACAAAATACAATAAATCATAGATTTTAAAATTTAAGAGGTGCTATTTAATAATAAAACACATATCCTCTTATCACACTTAAATAAATCCTTCAAGTCAATATTCAGTTACCTACAATTAATGTAATCTTTAAGAGGCATTTATTAACTGAATCGAGTAACTAACTATAACACGTAAATGTAGAAACACCAATTACAAGGTCAAAGACAGGACGATTACATTATCAGAGGATTATATATTTCATGAGCGTTGCAGCACACTTTGTAGATTCACTGATATGTGCTCTTCCTCATTTTAACCTTTTTTTTTTGTCGAGAATAGTTTGTGATATTGCTTGTCTATATTTAATTGCCTTTATTAATAGGACATTAAACCTCATTCATTACATTTTATTTCCTTACACATCTGTTACCGTGGTGGTGGAGGTAACCAAACCTACCACCGAATGCCGAATGGTGTCAACTATGTCTATTTTTTGAAAGCAAACAATTTACTTACCTTTCGTTTTTTGGGTCTTGACACTTTTGTCACTTTTTCCTTTTCAGAAGTTTGTTTTGGTGATGCCTTGTGCTTCTTTTCATTCTCATACTGAAATAAAATTAAATGGTTCAATGGTATTTCAATTCACTTGTGCGTAGGTATCTTTAGCTGAGGAAGAAATCCGGAGAACACAGAGAAATCCAATGAGGATGGACAGGCGACCAACTCCTTGTCACGCCACATGACTCAAGACAAACCTTGTAATCTAAAGTGCATGCCTTACACCATTCAGTCACCCAACCTTCCTAGTTGTAATAGAGATGATGCAACCATAACCTCAATAAGTTTTAAAACAATGCCAGGTTTAACATTAGTTGATTACCAACCAGGGCTGTCACTTATGTATTTTTCTTTTAAAAATTTCCATTATCCGATATTATTTGGGTTTAAGGTTAAATTCTTTGAAGTTCTAATTTTATGTAAATTGACCAACAGTTAAATTCTCTTGTCAGTCAAAATTTGTAAATATGATCAAAATAGGAGCTCTATTACACTGTAACCCAGATATCATTTAATCTTGTGTATCTAGCACTAATTTTTTTCACATTCATTTAATATCAAATCTTTGTTTAAAAATTCGTAAAAATCATTTAAAATCACCAAAAATCATATCATTTGTACTTGTGTCCAATTTACATGTGTTTAATTTCCTGACCACTGTTCATAAATTAATCATTATACAATAATCAATTGGGTTGTTTATATGTTAACAGTGATAGAGAAATTATACGCTTGTAAATTGGACACTCAGCAAAATTTAATTGTCAGCTTTAAAATGGACACAAGTACAAATTGGATGAATTTTGGTGAATTTAAACGATTTTTACAAATTTTTAAACAAGGATTTGATGTGGAATGAATGTGAAATAATACCCGGATTACAGTGTTACAAAAGGTCCTTATGAAATGAATACTCTTTTTTGATGTGCTAAGCAATGTTTACACAAGACCTTATCCACAAGACTGATGAGGGGAAATCACGCTGGAAAATCTGGAAGCACTTTCACAACCAAAACTGAGATCCAATGCTGCTGTCAAGGCTAATTTTTCAGACAACCCATTTCATTTCATTCTAAGTCTTTGTTTATGAAAAAAAATCCCAATATATACCTTTTCCTCTTCTCGTGGTGACATATGTTTATGTCTATGAGATCGATCGTCATTCTTCTCATCCTGTCTCCTAGGTGATGATAGACTACTTGTTGTCTCTGTGTCATCATCTGGGTGTTTTTCGCGACGTCGTTTATCGCTACGTTTCGGTGATGCACTGTGGGTCTTTTTATCATGTGGCTGAAATAATCAATTCAAGCTAAAACATGAGAAAATTTCTAACATTAGAACAATAGTAATACACTATGACAAACTGGATAGTGATGTCTACTCAGGGCCGTAACTAGCTCAGAGCAACGAGGGGGCGGGAAGTGTTCTCAGGGGTGCTGTAAAATTGACGGACAATGTGTATCTATTCTTTTGATGGTGGACAGTTTTTTCACGGGGGGGGGGGGGGGGGGGGGGGGCTGTGGCCTGTGTCTACTGTTAAGGGGGGATTAATCTCACTTAGATCACCGAGCAATAAAATAATTTTATCCAATTAGACTAAGCAAATTAAAAAAAGAAAGAGAAATGGAGTTAAACATTGGTTATTGTTTTTCTTGAAACTGATAATACCTCTAAGATAAAATTTAGAAGAGCTTTTTTTTTTGCACTTCCTCTAACATTTTTGTGCTTGAAAACGATAAGAGAATACTTGTCAAAACGTTGTGGTATATGTGTATAAACCAGTAATTGTTTTCCATATAAGTTGTGTTATATCTTTTAATATGCTTAATCAGATTTTTAAACTTGCACGACTGATAAAATATATATATATATATATAAATTAATTACCTGTCTTCGTGGTGATGTCTGTGAATCATCTTCAAATCGAACATGTTCTTTACCAGGTTTTTTATTCTTATTGTGTTGACTATCATCTGATCGACGACTGATATCTTCATCATCATCATTACGATGGAGTTGATTCGCATCCTGAAATTATTATATTATGAAGTTTATTAATAGAACTTTTACTGATTCAAAAAAATTTGTTGCATTGACAGAAAACCAAGAATATATGAAACACAACATAACCCTTAAGCAATGCACAACTGACAAAGAAACCACTCTGAGAAATCCAGGGGAACTGTATTTGCTAATAGAGGTGGCTGAGTAAGTGCAGGAGGACTGCACTACAAGCAAAACAAAACAGCCAAGTAAACCCGACAGAAATAAACAACAAACATCTAATCAAGTGAATGGATCTGGGGGTCACTGTGCTATACAGTCCCTGGCCTATAATGATACAGGCTTCAGTCGTAATGAAAAACAAAACAATGATTTAAGGATGTGGTTGGTCCTGATGATGGTCATCTCCTGAATGATGATAGTCTGCCAGTTCACATCATGAGTTAGAACGTTGACAAATTATGAACAATAAGGGCGATAATCCAGATAAAATATTCGGAAAAAGCTATAAATGAATAAATCAAGTGTAGTGATGTGTTTTCAATCAGATGGTCTCTCATCGATAGAAATGTTGTGGTTCTCATCCTATGCTTGTATGTCACCAATCAATGTGCCATAGAAATATCAAAACTTTCGATCTGTAGAGCACGGTTTTGGAGGAAGTATATAATTTATCTCACCCTGTCTCTGTGTTTTCTGCTGTCATCTTTCCAACTGTCGCTCTGAACAGACTGTATCACCTCTTCATATTCACGCTGAAAATAACAAGAATGTATCCAGTATTAGAGTTATCTACCCTGAACTGTAACCATTTACCCACATTACGGTTTTTCCAACAAGAAATACAAGAAGTCACTATGCTTCAAGGGACGTAACTCTTGCAGTCACTCAATGTCAGACCACTATTAATATTTATGTACTAACAAAATACTTCCTACATAAAACATAAAGACAACAACGAAAGCGGCATAAAATAAAAGAGATTTTACCGTGTGTTGCTGTTGATCTCTGGGACTAGATACATGGTGACGTGGACTCTCTTTAATAGGATGCTACAAAACAATATATACATAATTCAAACAACACATACATGTAGCTTTCTTTATCTTCTACCTAACCTGTACATTCATGGCCAAAACTACTGTTCACGTTAAAATCAACCGAGATATGTGAAAAGCTCACCATTTTATAGGATCGCATACTTGTTCTTTGGTCTTAGGGGCGCCACAACTATTCGTGTGACTTGATCGGTTTTGTGCAGTTCATGTTAGATGTCAAACCCTATTTCAGTCAATTTCAAATTTGATAATCCATGTTGTACAAGACAAAAATCCTTGTCATGAGCGTAAATAAGAGTTTAACATCCATGAGGTTGGACAGGCAACCCTACTTGAAATCAACCCATGCCCCTTGACTCAATGACAGACTTTATGATCTAAAGAGAATGCATTAAACTACTAAATAACCCCAAATTTTCATTCGGCCGAATTATATTTGCCTAGTGTGTCCGCTTCGTGGAAGCATTCGGTCGAATATAGAATTCATTACCCAATCACTACTTATCATTCACTCATATCGAGACGTCACATGATTGTTTGAAGACATAGACTCCGCCATGTTTAATCATGTGACATGAAAGGTAATGCAAACGACTGGTGAATCGGACGAAGCATTCGCCTAGTGTGTCCAACCATTTGGCTGAATAAAATTCGGCATAGATTGATTCGTCCACAGCTTAAGTAAACAAGTTAAAATAGGCTAACTTACAATGTGCAAATCATAAAAAAAACCAATGAGCTTAAAGAAATATTCAGAAACAAATGCCATATCAATCTCAAGTGTACCTGTTCACATATTCTGGGACACTTACTTGATAAAATACAGGTATATTAGACAAGGTGTCTGGTTGTTCTATACCACTATCGAGGGGAGGAAACTCTGGCTGTACTAGATAATTTGGCTCGGGTATATGGTGATATCGTACGGCAGGTGGCTCTGGTGGTATATCTTCATACGGATTGTATCGGGCCATCCGACTGTGAACAATAATCTAAAATAAAAAAAACATACATCAGCATTCATCTAAGATCATCACAATACTGATCAGACACCAATCTGATTAAAACACAGATCCTATTTTGTTTCGTTTTTTATAGTTCAAAATTTCGTTTTACTTGTCTTTATTACACTAGCACCTGGAAGAGTTCTAGTGAGGGATTAGCCAATGAAATGGTCTGTTATGGTGAGTTATTGGCGTGCGAGGCACGGAACTGTGGGTAAACCACTAGAAACGCCAACACTGATTGATTAATCAATGTCTGGCGTCATAGGGTCAAAAGTCGCTTGTACAACCCCTGACGTGACCTTTCACTACAACTGGTCAGATCTTCTTGTAGTATATGCCATCGAAAGTATAAGAAAACGAAACAAAATATTGGTCTGTATTTTAATCAGATTGATCAGACACACGTCATTGTGGCAGGTCGTGTTCCATTGAGCCCCTGAATCTTGATCTATGAGAGCTTTTTGTTTTCTTCGAAATGAAATTGGGTTTAACTTCCTACTGTTCTGCTCTGAACTGGGCTAATGAAGACGGGATGTTTTCTTCGAACACCTTATACTATAGTTAGTTGAGTATCACTCGCTATAATTTCCTTATCATTGACAGGGGGAGGGGGGGCATAAAGTCTATCATTGAGTCAAGTGGTTAATTTCCTCCCACTGCTAAAGACCCCTACGTGCGATAAAATTGAACCATATGTTAGTCCCGAAATGATCTAGTTTGTGTCAAGTAGAGGTTAAACCCCATACATCTTTCTCTCACAATTCCTTTTTATGTCTTTTGTCCTTGGTTAAGTAACCTGTAACTCTTAATTATCCATAGGTACACAAACACTCTTAAAGATACATTATGGGAGATTAGATAACGAGTTGGCAGATCTCACTATAATAGTTAAAAACTAGATAATGTAAAGGCAATTTGCTGAAAATTTCAATCGATCGAAATTTCCGCATAGCCTCGGTCATAATTACTAAAGTCGGTACGAAAAAAATCACAGCCTCGATTATCCATTTAATCAAGAAGGAAAGTTGTGCAGCAAATCGGATCATAATCCAACAATTATCGCAGGCTAGCGATAATGGTCTGGATATGTTAATTATTGTCTAATTAATAGTTTATATAACATCTCATGCCTAAAGAAAGACCTACAATAGGCAGATTTAGCTCTTGCATAATGTATGATTAAATTGTTTTCTTTTTATTTTGATCCACATCAATATCAGGATATAAAATTGTTTTATTTCTTAGACATCAGCAAGTCTAAAGATATCAATTATTCATTTATCCTGCTGTTTTCTTGACCTGAGTTCATCAGGATTTTCCGACGTGGTTTTCCCTTGTCAGTGGTGCAGGACAGAGGGCCTGACAAGGACAACTGACTAGTCGATGGGACGAAAATCCAAGGTCCCATGTATACATTGGCGCGCACATAAAATATCCCTTGGTAGTTGGAATTAGATATACATGTAAGAGTAGGCCATAGCGCCGCTGCCTGGGCAAAATGTCCTTCACTGCACACTGCATGGCATATGCCCATCTTCATTAGCCCAGTCGGAGCAGAACAGTAGGACGTTAAACCCCATTTTATTTCATTTCATTTTCTTGACCTGGTTATGAATCATGATACAAATCGTATCAAAGCACCTGAATTGCAATATGTACCGTATCAGGACTGCAGTGGTAATAGCCAGCACTAGTCGAGACCACAACACTTGACTTAAAAAGCAGATCAACCAAACTGACCTAGACATGACCGCATATATTTCAGAATTCTGACTTGTGAATTACCTAGACCATTTCAATTCACTCCAGTTTTTATTATCTAGAGGTAGTCTCAATAATGCATCTTGGGTTTTCTGTTTGTGAATATTCATTTTTATTCTTTCACAAGGGATGGTGGTATATAGTTTACTAAGCTTTATACCTGTTCGGAGTGGGGTGGGGGGGATAGCGCAGTATCATAATAAGGTCTCTGTCATTGAGTCAAATGGCGTGGTTTCGATGCCCTGGTTGCACGTGACAAGGAGCAGGGTCGCCTGTTCAACCTCGTGGGTTTTCCTCCCACTGCTAAAGATCCCTACGCGCAAGCGAATTATTGAAATAAAATTAAACCATGTGTTAGTCCCAAAAAGACCTAGTTTGTGTCAAGTGGACGTTAAACCCCATATTTCTCTCTCTCTCTCTGTACCTGTTCGTTTGTAACTGGATGGCCTGACATTGTGTCGTGTTGATGATTCGAAGGCACAATTTCTGTTTGTGGTAGACTAGAATATCCTGGTGCTGCTAAATACTGATTACCATATTGTGATGTGTGGCTGGAAAAAAAAAATATATAGAGCATGTCACTGGTTCAATCAGGTGTCGATTGAGTCAGAGGGTTAGATTGGTACCGGTAAGGGTTTTCCAGCATGTCACTGTCAGTATCTCCCTAGGTGCAAGGAAAAGCGTCTAGTCGTTCGGATAGGACAAAAAAAACTATTTGTGTACTTGTTGCCGTGCGATCAAAAAACAAACTGGCTGTAACAAGTAAAAAAAAAAAAAAAAAGAAAAAAACAAAGAAATGAGAAATGCGCCTTCAAATAAAAAACAAACATTGAAACAAACACTGAAATACGACTGTTTTTGACTTAGTAAAAAATATTAGGGCATTAGCCAGTTTTAAGGAATTCAACTGACAAAACAAACCTTTACAATCACATAACAGTTGATTGACAATAAAACATTGATAATCTTTCACAATACAGATAGACTTACAAAACAACTACACGACAAAACACAATGTTTACACATGTTGGTAAGGCGCCATCTTGAATAAAAGTCGTAAACCGTTACGACAACCGTTATAAGGAATTAACCGTTAAAAAAAAAACCGCGGGAAATAGCTCTCAGCCTAAGTTGCTAACTGATGTTTCGTTAATCTTTCGCTCGGCCGATTCAAAGAAGGTATCTGTGATATTAATTCAGTGTGGGGCAGACAGTATATACAGCTATATCACACAGATTGCTACAGTTGATATCACCCAAGTCATTAATTTGTCGAGAGAGAAATAACTCTTAATAATCACACGTGACGATTTAAATTTAATTCATATAATGACTATGATTACGTATAATATGAACAAATGCGTATTTTAACAGGTGGTACTGTGGGAGGGATACTCATTTTTAATTAGTGCATTATTTGTACATTTAGTGCATTTTCGAAAGAGTGGTGGGGGGGGGGCGTGAGCTGGACACATGTACGTTTGGTTACGCCATTGTAGGGCCTATATGACTCATGTTCTGGATTTTAGGACACAATTGAAATGATGTGGATATTTCTAAAAAACGTCATGTAGACCCCATCCATCCCTACATTTAACCCGTTCTTTAAATATACGGGTAGTGTGTATTATCAATTGTAAAGGACATTTAAGATCAATATCCCTAAAATTAAAATTTGACCATATAGAACTCACCTATTGTAGTAATTTGGCTGCATCTGAGTAGCTGATCTGGGCGGTCTATTATCATATAGGCCAAGCTCTCCTGGAAGTGTAGATTGAGACGGGTAATCTGGTATCAAGTGAATTTGGGAAGCAGTAGCTGGCCTCTCTTGTTCTGGAATGTGGTAAGACAGATTGGTTTCAGGAATCTGATTTGGGGCTTGATAAAACAGTGGTTGATTAGGGTAACTCTGGTAATAACTTGCTTGAGTCGGACGGGGACTTCCAAATAAAGGCTGTTGCAGTTGAGCCATTTGGGTGTTCTGTGGTTGGTGTAGTCCTTGTAGAAACTGATTGTTATGCATTTCAGCCACAGGGGGATCTGATGGTCGTTGTGTTTGAACGTTCTGTATTAAAGGAGTTTGGTATGCAGGCTGTTGGTTATTTTGTTTGGTTTGAATGCTGTGTAGGGTAAATGGATTTGGGACAGAATTTCGTGTTTGCTGCTCATGCTCATCACGAGATGGCATTATCGATGTTGTGGGAAGTGTCACGAGGCTTGACTGCGTTAAAGATTCAATTGGAACAGGTTGGGAAATTGTATCAAAACTATTTGAAACATTACTGTGGTAAGCAGCTGACTTTGAACTAGAATCAGCCTGTGTAAGTTTGGCCTGAGCTCCAAAATCTCTACTGGTTTGAGTGATCATATCTTTTTTCACAGGATCAACATAAGGCAGAGCCCCCTGTTCTTTATTGGAATTTCTGTCATTATCTGTAGCGGCTGTTTCGTGATCTGAAGTTTGGGTATTAGTTTCTGTGGTAGATACATCCGGTCCTATAGCTGTGGATTTCATCTTTGGTTGCAAGAAGATATCATTAGAATACCCTGGATTGTCCAACCCTTTATCAGAATCACGCCCTTGTGATATATAATGTCCAACCGTATTGTCACCATCTTGTTGATCCCTGGCATTGGTTGGCCTTGGAGGTGAGGTATCTGATTTCGTAAAAGTGTTTGAATTGAACGAAGGTTCTACGCTTCTGCGAGTAATCAATTCCTGGTCAGGATTTCTGTCCGCAGAATAACTAGACACGTGTCCTGGCAAAAGTTCAGGGTTGACCTCACTATCATCCACCTGTCTTGCATGCCTTGAGTATGGTACCGTAAAGTCTTGCATCAAGTGTGATTGCCTAGCCTCTTCACGATTTGCTGCCCTTCTTCTTTGTTCTTTTCTGATGGTGGAAGTAGGGATGCGTAGTCTGTTAGGGGAGTCAAATGGATGGATGTTGGGTTTATCGACGTTGGGGGATAGGTCATTGCTATAATTCTGACTAGAATAGTCATGACTGTAACTGTTGGCGGGATCGTCGTGTTTGTATCTATTGTAAGGAGTATCATTTTCTACCTCGGAAGCACTTTCTGGTGAATAGCATGGGTCAAATTCTTTCAGTTCCATTGTAGTTTTTCTCTGCTTCTTTATTGGACTCCTGATTCTGGATTTGCTCGTGGGTGTCAATCCTTCCTCGCCCTTCAGTGTACCTCTACGATGACTCCTGACTTGCTTGCTGGCACCGATTGGGGTAGCATGCATCCGGTTATTGAAAAAGATTTGGTTAGTGTGACCCTCTACGATTCTACCTTGTGGTGACTTTGGTACCAGAATGGTGAACTCATCTGACGCATCGGTGTGGTCACCACTGTCCGAAGTCGACGTTGGGTCTGGTTTCTTTAAGGTTAAGTAATAATAATCTCTGGGATCTGGATGGTGGTCCACTTCGGATCTCGATTTGTGTTTTCTAGATCTGTTCTTCTCTGGAAATTTCCCTTTAGCTAATGTGTCTGAGTGTGTAGATACCGAGGGGGTCATCGTTGCATAGGCGGTCTCTTTGGGAGTCTTCTCTGCTTTCTTGACATGGGTTGCTTCTATTACGGATTCCTTCATCCCAAATATCTGAGCCCTCTCTAAGCTTCTCCTCCTGTCGCCCTGTCTAGATCTATTCGGAGATGACGGAGCACGATCTCTCCTTTGTGATGTAGACTTTTGTATTACGTCTTCGTGAACACTTATCTGTTTTGGAAGAACTTTTTGTTGCTGATGGTTGGTAACTTGTGATTCCGGGTTTGGTATTTCCGTGGATGAAGGTCCACCATCCTGATGATTTAGACCCAGCAGATGATTAGAGAGATCCGTGTTTCTGTGAGTTGCTTCATTGTCCCGCATTTCGGCAAAATCTTTAAGGGTATTCCTTCGGGAATTTATTTCTGCGTCGTGTTTTATGTCCCGGTTTGTCCCCTTATCGCCCCGTTGGGATGACGCCAACGTCGAGTCTTCTGTGTTTGGGTTACCATTTGATGTTCCCGATGTCACTGCTATTTGAATTTTCTTTCCTCTTCCCAGGGAGTATTCACTTAATTGAGAACCCTTTTCACTACCGCGCAAAGAACGACTAGGAGTAATCTCGCCCTTTTCGATGTCAATTGTTAAATTATGATCGCCTAAAGATTCACCACGCTGAAAAATCAAACACAAGAAATGAGCAAGCAAAAGGGCAAAACAAATTTTTAATGTCATCTAAATATTGTGTTGGATTAGCGCGACATATGGACACAGATTTTGGTAGTCGAAACTATTTAGTAGAAGTCAGTAGTGTCGCCATTCAAATTTAAATTTGGACGTATGGAAAAGTATGATTCAAGTGGTAAATTAACGAAATAAGTATGTTAGTTGGCAGTAATCTCAAAAGCTCACCTTGTAAGGCAGAATGCTTCCTCTATTCCAGCGGTCCACAACATAACATTTAACAATAATAATGATGAGCACCAGGACGAGGAGACATGGTAACACTATAGCAACGATAAACAGTAGAGTCGTATTGTCAGAAGGTGCTGTTGTTGAGGCAGGAGTTACCTCCCCGCCTACTGCCTTAACTGGTCCGATAGCCTGGAATAATACAGATCAATAATCCTACTAAAGCTTTGCATCATTGGCGTGTCCTAGCACATTCTCTTTAGATTCATCAGTCTAGCCACCACCAGTGTTATCCTCGCCCTTCTCTTCTTATGGATAGTTCGGTTGTGACCGGAAACAACCGTTCTTTACTGTACCCGGGGGGGGGGGGTCTAGACAGAGTGGAATTATTTTTCAGCTGGGGGTGAAGATTACCAAGTTGAAAATACATACGATAGGCTAGTCCCAAAACCAAGAAAACTTTGTACCCACAAGACTTTAAACGCATACACAGGATTCCTTATAATAAAATATCCAAATTAACCAAGGAAGCAATTAACGTACCGAATATCCGAGTATGGCGCTCTTCTGTGCATCAGTTAGTCGGTTGAAGACAGGAACTGCTTTATCTGGTGCCACTACCTGTCCGTTCTGTATGACGTAAAACTCTGATGACACATCAGTTTGTTGGGTTGGATCTCTGTCCATACTAGTTATCTGTAAGACAAATTATTTGATTACAACAGTGTAGGCTTTAAAATCTTAAAAGTATCGCTAAAGAAATTGGGACAGGACTCTTCGAAATACACCCCTTTGGCAAAATACGTGTTTACAGTAATACCATCTGGGTGGAGCCACAGTTTCGATGACCACCAGAGTAACCAACCAAGTTGTTCAAATATAACATAGATACATGACAATTGTACAATTAATAAAGCTATTGCTGGGCTGAGAAAATATTTATCCCCAATCTCCAACCACAGAATACCCTGAACTCTAGCTGGAAGTAGATTGTGGTTATTCTTTTTAGAACTGATTCCAATGCTCATTTATCAAAGCTAAAAATAATAACTTACGGTAACTTTTGGCTCGTTTTCCACCTGTCTCTTGTATAAAACAATAGGTTGGTCTACTTCATAATCGTCTAAAGATCTTTTCCTGCGTCGTCGCCTTTGACTGATTCCCGCACCCTCCATATAAATTACCTCTAACCCTTAATTTGGAACAAAAATATAACAGTTTAAGCTATAAACAATGAAAGGCCAAGGTGACCAAATCCAAGGCGTTTTGGATTTAAGGGAGGGCATACCCGATAATTTTGAGTGTGTAAATACTTGATCATTTTGGTATAGGATAGAAAATTTTATCTTTCCAAATATATGATTTGAAGGTTCCTGATCGCCACGTGCACTTTTGAGAGAATTTCTAAGTTTTCACGGCTTAATCCACATTAAAATGTAATAAAATTTAGAATTTATTTTAAAAAAAAAGATCAACAGGGTAGATAATCGCCCGACTTGGATTCAATCGGATTAAAGATATCCTCATCAAAATATTATCAGAGAAACTCTGCCTTTGGCTTTTGTTGACTATTTCGTGCAGTTGATGATGAATATTGACAATATGCAAATCATCACATCCTTGTAAAAAAAACTTTATTGGACCATTTTGGACTAAAATCCCATTTAGAGATGCAAGTTTCACAATATTGTACATTCAAAAGTTCTCAAAAGAGACAAAACCCGTAAATGCTGGATGACATAGAGCAAAAGGTTCCAGGTTATCCAAGGTTTGTAAATATATTCACCAACCCAGAAAATATTTTAAACTTCTTACCATTTTCAATTTCTGTTTGAAACACACCATCAGTAATATTCCTGTCTACTTTTACCGAGACTTTTATAACCATCAGACTATCAGCAGAAGGAGTCGTGGGTGCGGATGTTGGTGGGGTGGTCGGAGCTTTGGTTGGTGGTGCACTGGTAATTGGTACAATGGAGGAAGTTGGTAGCATGGGGGTTGACAGTATCGTAGCCGTTCGTGTACTTTCCATGGAAAGTGTCGAGGAGGGAGGTGTGGATAACAAGATTTGAGTCGTTGACAGCTCCTCGGTGGTAAGAGATGTCGGATTAGAACGGACTTGTGATGATGGCTGTATCGGAATGTTTGGTAATGTACTTGTTTGTAACGATTCTGTTGGTATCACTTGGTTAGTTAGCAATCCGTCAGTAGTTAGAAATATCGGAGTCATTGCAATGGTTTTCAATGTCTCTGTTGACAGTAAGGTTTCGGTACTTGATAGATGGGAGGTAGTTAATACTTGCGTGGTATCCATTACGAGAGTAGACCTACTTGTTATTAACCCTGTATCTGATATGACCTGTGGCGTGGTAAGTGCGGTTGCTATTGGTGTAGATGGAATCATCGTCCTTGGTGGTTGATGGCTTTCTGTAGATTCCGAGATGAGAATTATCGAAGACGTTAAGCCAAGTAAAAGGCTGCGACTTTCTGTTATAGAGTCCATAATGAGATATCCAGAGCTGGATTCTATACCACTGGTGTGCTGCGATTCGTCCAAACTTAAACTGCTAGGTGAGCCCGTTGACATTGACAGTACTTCGATAGCAGACACGTTGGAGCTAAATGGCACCATTGTTGAGATCGACTTAAGACTGGCAGTCATTGAATCGATTGTTAACATGGTTAATTTCGTTTCAGCCTCAACAAATGAACTCAGTAAAGATGTAGAAACGACATCGGATGTTTGAAGAAATTCCGTTATTTTGGAGCTGTCCGCAGAGCCGGAGATCGGGTGAGTAAATCCAGATTCTGAAGAAATGGCCAACGATCCGGAGGACGGAAATATGTCAATGGATGTAACACTTTGTGTTGAGAGAGAGAATATGTCCAAGCCAACGGACGTGGTTGTCAATACTGTCTGGATGGTTGTGAATATGGAATCAGTACCAAAACTTGGCGACAACTGGGATGATTGCAGAGAGGACCCGGATCTGGATATAAAAAAGTAGGCTGTTTCTGTCGTGCTTGGTGTGTATTCATGGCTAATACCATCAGATATAGAACTTGGTAAAATGGCAATAAAACCTCCAGATTGTGTCATTGACGCAATCATATCCAGCTGCTGTTCAGAGTTCGTATTGACCACCGTAGGCGTCGACTGTAAGTCGCTGACTGAAAGATCAGTGTATATTGAGTACTGAAGACGCTGTGAAGACGATAGGGTATCAGAGGGTTGAGTTGGTTGTGGTGTTTTGACACCTGATCCTATGGTACTGGCATCTTTCTTTACTCTCTCAATAGGCTGAAGAACCTGCACAAAGGATTGAAAAGGCGAAATGCTTGAATACCCTAAAAGTCCCATCATAATAAATTTTAGTACAACTTTACCCTAACATCCCACCCCATCTACCTATCCAGGAATGCCCCCAAAACAACATATAGACGAGGTGCATGTCAATCCCACCCATCCCAAAAACAGAGTCATGCGTGGTAGCGATACCGTCATTTGATCATACCCACAGAGCCAGTGCAAAGCTTTACAAGTATAGCAAGAGAATCGAAAGACAACTATTAGAAGTTAAACATAAATTGTTTTTTTTTTTTTGAAGAATCCTCACAAATTTGAAACAAAAACGTATAGCATGTGAATGGAAAGATAACTATTTGAAGTTAAAAATAAAACATATTTTTGACGAATCCTCGCAAATTAGAAAACAAAAACGTAAAGAAATGTGGACGGTGGAAGTTGGCGACAATAAACGTTCATATTAAATGTGGGCGTACTAAGATAAACACAGATCCAGCCATTTTACGTCATACTCTGATTTGATACAAAACAATTGCTGTATTAGTCCGGAATAGAATTATACCCAGACCCTAGCACCCTTCAGCTCACTTTAATCTCAAAACGTATTTTTATACCTGTAATTTACTGACTGTGTTCAAGTCTTCAGCTGATAATAGGGACATCAGTTCCTCCACCTCGTCAGCTGGCATAGGCACCCCATTAACCTTGATATAAAACATGACCGAAGCTTCGCCATCAGATGATTCTGGTGACTCGTATAACTAAAATATAGATAAAGTTTTTCTTACGTTATTTATCGTAATATCATACAAATGGATGATATGTTTGAATTATGGACAGACGAATAAAGGAAAATATTGTTATTCCACTTAATGTATTTTCACAAAGTCATGGACCATCTAAAAATCTCCAAAAGATCTTCAAAAATATTCAAAATCAATCGTCGCGTATAACGTGGTTAGGGTTAGGGTTTGATAAATACTGATTCTAAGAAGCAATATTGTGTCCTAAAATATTTGTGTTGATGTCTATAATCTGCTTACCACAACTTCAACATCTGGATCCGAAACGTCTCTTTTTCGCCTCCTATTACTGTTTTTAATTCTTAGAGCTTCTAAAAATGCTGCCACCAAACCTATGAACAATCACAAAGTACATAGCAAATAATATGAAATTTCTGATTTTTCGGTACCAACCTGGGATAATAAAGATGGACATTGGCCTGTGAGTGACATTTTGCCAGGGCAACAGCGATCGTCATATTCTAATATTGATTCTCAACTGTCAGGGGATGTTAATTAATGGGATGCCAATGGTGTACACGGAACCCGTTGTGCAACCCGACGGACAAGGGGAAAGCAGACTGGACAACCTGAAGAACTTTCCAGTAAATAATAAATTAGTGACATATGCAAACTTCTTAGTTCTTGACTGTATTCAAGAGAAAATAACATCAGCTGTTCCATAGAAACCCATCCTGTTCACCATTGCTATGATAATGTGTATGTATACCGACATGCATAGGCGTACGGGGAAATTTTTGACTGGGGGGGGGGGGGGGCGGTGGTGGTTGGTGCCCAAAAAATGTAGTTAGGTTCTTAGTATGTTATATAATAATAATAAATTCGCTGTTAATTGGACACATTCAAGAACGCAATATTATTTTATACAACTTTTACAAAGTACAATTGTGTGCCCAAATTTTCCCAGCATTTGGTGCCCAAAATGGGGGCCCCGCCCCCCCCCCCCCCCCCCCCATCTCGTTCGCCTATGCCGACATGCGTCAGAGGGGAGACACAGGAGGTGGAGGGTGTCAGACGGGGCAGGCGAATCGAAGCTGTGCATAATCAGAGGTCCCATGGCAAAGGTTCATAATATATACATATATAATGCTTCGTATTTCCTGAGGGTGTTTTCTTTTCCAAAAACTGTGGATTGCTGAAGGGTTTTGTCAATGAAATATTTCCCAAGAAAAGATTTTATGAACGAGTGGAGTTGGGCACGATGGGGATATTAACACGGGTACCTACTGCTGCACCCGAAGATAATTTTCTTGCATATATATGTTAACTATAACTTACCACTTTTGAGTTTATTTGAAAATTCTTCCGACTGAACATCTTGACCTTTTGGATCGAACACAAGTCGTAGTAGATATGGACTTAAATCTTGTGTAGGGACAATTGAAGATGCTTCCATATTGGTTGTTGGGGTAGGCGAAAGGGTCTCCTGTGCGGCAATATTATCGCTGATACTCTGCATTGAACTATATACTGGCTGTGGCAAACCATCACTTGTATCAACAGACTGGGTCATAAAGGAAGTGTCGGATATATAACGTGATGGATCGTAAGTGCTTAACATGGTCTCTAGAACTAACGAACCGTTCACGGACGGTCCAGATATGTTGACTGACAAATTATACTTGGAAGAGGAAAGATCACTTCTGTAAAATGGTGAGGTGTCCAGGCTATATCGTGATGGTTCGTACGAGCTTAAAAGTGACTCTGATAGCGAGGATTCGGACACCGACGGGTTGACTGGAAAGTAATATTGGGACGATGACTCCTGCGATATGGCAATATCACTACTTGTATAATGCAATCCACTTGGAAACCCAATTGTGTTTAGAGACGAATCAACGCTGCTGAAAGAGATCATTGGTAGTATTGATGCGTTGTCGATAGTGGTCTGTGTGGGATAACTATCCTGCAAACTGAAAATCAGACTTGCGTCGCTAGACGAGACAATAACCGACTCAGATTCTGACTTCGCTGAATCAAAATATGAGAGAGGGTAGTCACTAGAAGAAATGGTGAAAAGTTCAGTCATTGTCTGAAAAATTCTGCTTTCGATGGATTCTGAATAATCAATTGACTGAGGTGAGCTGTTTTCGGGAGTTGAATATTCCTTGGGTGGTGAAATACTCAATTCTTCTGACCTATATCCTGTGGTAAACGATACCATACTTGGTGATACTTGGTAGTCAATCTGTGTGGATATGGGGCTAGGCGCGACTGGTATAAGTGGTATTGATTCATCAGTAGACGAAAGGCTGAATGACGCTGGAGTCATGATTTCGACACTTGATGATTTCGTGAAAAGATCAATGGTCGACGATTCTGATTTATCATATAGCAATGATTGGAATTCGGTGAAATCCGTCGAAGGTACTGATGAGTCATACACCAATGACTGGAATGAAAAACTCCCAGAGAATTCGGTCTCTGGTACAGATGAGTAAGACTGGGTTGAATAACTTTCTGTGGAATCTGTTGTAGTAATATCAGACGACCCTGCTTCATAATCCATTGAGTCTAAGGATGATCCATAAATACTAAAATACTCCGATATTTCTGATATTTGACTTGATGTCAATAAACTCGGGATATTTGGTAACATGCTGGTCGAGGATGAAAACAGAGATGCTTCAGCCACTGACCGACTTTCCACGGATACACCCTGAGTGTCTATAAATTGGCTAACGCTTGATTCAAGCTGCGATTTACTAGGTGATATGGTCATGGAAAGACTTACAGTATATAGCAGAGAGTCATCTGTAGACGCCAAAACAGATATTTCTCTTTCTAGTTGACTTGTTGTAGATATTACCTGGTTAACTAAGAGGCTGCTAACCACGATTGTTTCGAACTGTGATGTATCGGACACACTTGTCAAATCTAGTAGAGAGTTACTCGAGGACACTTCAAGAGATGTGCCTGGAGATGTCATAACTTGTGTAGATTCATCGGATGTGGGTACAGACTCACTTTCATGAGATGCAAAAGATGTAGTTCGCTCCGTGAAAACTTCCCCAGTGCTTTTCTCTGCAGACTGTACAACGTATGTTGGAGTGGTTTCCAACAAAGGTGTTGCTTGTGGTAGTGTAGTAGATCCCGATGTATAAATCGTGCCAGACTGAACATTGACAGCACTTATTGGTTCCAATAACTGAAAACAAGAATATAACAATCCGAAATGACACCCAGTGTTTTTAGGAATAATAAGACATCTGTCACTATCTATTTTATAAAATAAACTATACACACTGTCTGTATTCTATAAACACTTTTGCGTACATGGGATAATAGGGTAGAGTTAATCTGTGGAAACCCCCCATCCTTCATCTTATTGTAGGCAGATCCATAGTCTTGCACCATTGATGATGTGAACCATGCAGGGAAATCATGTAGAAATTGCTCACTCAGCACCTTACTCACCGAACCACAGTGGCTTCATAAAACATGAATCTACAGCAAAGATATATGTAACCCAAGTCTTCCCCTTTAACAATAGTGCTACCCCCAGTGATACAAGAGATATTCTTGTATAGATTAGTAGGACAAATAAAATATCTCTTGATAGTTAGTCTCAAAATGTCCTCTCTTTTCCTTTTATAGTGTGATATTGACTTTTAAAAACAGAAAGTGTTGCCCGTTTTACCTCAACTCCCAGGATTTCTTCCATTTCTTCTTTGGACAGCAGGTTTAATAACCCCATAGCTTCATCTGCAGATATTGGTCCATTACCAAGATCTACCGTAAACTGAGCAGTTGCTGATGTACTGGTCGATTGTTCTAAATTATCCAACTGTCATGAAGAAAAAATATAAAGTTTCGTAAATAGCTATTAAATAGAACATTTCAAACATGAGATGCATGTAAAATGAGATATTTTAATGTTGACATCAGCAGCATCGTCGTCGCCATCATTATGTGAATATGTTTCAAATTACCTGAACTTTTATATTTGATGAGCCGGTTTCGGTATCCCGTTTTTTACGTCTCAAGGCACCTGCTGGTAAGGATTCTTGTCTCCTCATAGCCTCTTCAAACAGTCTAATCAGAGCTTTGAATAAGTAAATAAAGTATAAGTCGTAATGAACTTTAATCCGAGCTATAAATAAGTCAACATATCATAAGTCACTCTAAACTTTAACCAGAGCTTTAATTGATTAAATAAAAAAATGTCATTATTAATTTTAACCAGAGCTTTAAATCAGTAAATATAGCAGAAGGTACATTAAATTAGTAATTTATAAGGGAACAAAGGCATAATAAGGTGCTTGAATTTTTATAAAGCAAACTTACAGTTGATCAACTTCTGTTTATTAGCTGGCTCCGTGTAGTCTGTATCCAGCGGATTAAACCTCATCTTGAGCAGGTATTTTTCCAGGTTCGTATCCGGTACTGTGACACTGCTACTGATTGGCGTTGTTGTGTCCGTAGAAGTAATAGCAGTGGTAAGAATGTCCAAAGACGAGACAACGTTACCATTGGACGATATGGCAACAGAAGCCATTGTTCGAACAGTAGTGGTTATATCCATGTATGTGGCTGTGGATACTGTAAAATCTGATGTTGTTGCGTTTGAAGACCGAACAATAGTTGGAAGGAACCTTGAAGGTAAGCTCATATCAATTTGTGTTGACAAACCGTCCATAGAAGTTTCAGCTAGGGTTGTGTAAGGGATGAATCCCATATCATTAGACGAGGATTCGATACCAATTGATGGATTAAATACATTAGATGTTTGTAAATTAGAGTAGTCCGGGTTAGATTGCAGGTATCCCATACTAGATATATGTACAGAGTTAGATGAAGCGTATATAATGTCAGATGCTGCTGATGTCATACCCGACACCGAGAATTCCATGCCAGAGGAGGTGTATCCCAAGTCAGATGCAGAAGATCCCATATCAGATGATGTTGTCATGCCAGATGATAAATATCCTAAGTCAGATGCTGAGTATGTCATATCAGATGCTGGGGTTACCATTTTAGATGCTAAAGTTGTCATTTCCGATACCGAGAATCCCATCTGAGATAATGAGTACACCATGCCAGATGATGAATATCTCAAGTCAGATACAGAGTATCCCATATCAGATGATGGGGTTGCCATTTTAGATGACGTTGTCATGTCCGACACCGAGAATCCCATCGCAGATGATGAGTACACCATGTTAGATGATGAATATCCCAAGTCAGATGTAGAGTATCCCATATCCGATGCTGGGGTTGCCATTGCAGGTGATAAAGTTGTCATATCCGACACCGAGAATCCCATCTGTGAGTACACCATGTCAGATGACGAATATCTTAAGTCAGATGCAGAGTATCCCATATCCGATGCTGTGGTTGTTATTTCAGGTAATAAAGTTGTCATGTCCGACACCGAGAATCCCATCGCAGATGATGAGTGCACCATGCCAGATGATGAATATCTCAAGACAGATACAGAGTATCCCATATCGGATGCTGGGGTTGCCATTTTAGATGATGATTTCATGTCCGACACCGAGAATCCCATCGCAGATAATGAGTACACCATGTCAGATGATGAGTCAGATGATGAGTAACCCAATTCAGATACATAGTATACTATATCAGATGCTAGGGTTGCCATTTTAGATGATGTTGTCATGTCAGATACCGATAATCTCATCTCAGCTGATACGTTCTCCATGTCAGATGATGCGTATCCCATGTCAGATGATGCCGGGGTTGAGACTTCAGATGATGTTGTCATGTCCGACACAGAGAATCCCATCTCAGCTGATGAGTACACCGATGAATATACCATGTTAGATGCTTGGATTGCCATTTCGGATGATGAGGTCGTTATGTCTGACCTTGAAAATCCCATATCAGATGCAGAATATCCCGTAGCAGATGATGGAGTTGTCATGTCAGACACTAATAATCCCATGTCAAATGATGAATACACCATGCCAGATGTTGAATATCCCTGGTCAGATACTTGGTATTCTGTGTCAAATGTTGAGTATCCCATATCAGTTGCCATGTCACGTGATGAATATCCCATCCTTGATATGTATCCCATCTCAGATACTGAGATTCCACTACTGGGTCCATATCCCATTTCAAATGTTGATGTTGAAGATGTTTCGTATTGGCTATATAAAGGTGAGTATCCACTGACTGATGCTGAATATTCCATATCTGATGTTACTCGTCCCATACTAAATGATGCGTATCCCATACTCGAGGACGCGTAAAGAACACTCATATATTCTTTATCAGACGACGAGTATTTCGTATCAGACCCTAGACTTTCTAGATTTACTTTAGGTACTGATGATACAGTTGTAGTGGAGCGTGTGTTAACTGGAGTATATGAATCTGATACGGGTGAGTAGTATGATGAAGTTCCTTGGGAATCCGAGGATGCGGTTATTGTGGGCAATATATCATTTGCAGTAAAGGGTTCTGTCGATGATAGTATGTCTGTGACAAAAATGTTCATCTTTGTATAGGATTCTGTCATGGACGAGGGACCTAATGATACGTATTGGGAATCAGATGATATTCCCGAAGATGACTGAGATAAAGTTAACATTATATCACCACGATTTGCTGATGATGCAGTAATTTGTGAGAATCCAGACAAATCAGAATACGTTTGGATATATCCAGGGGACGTAGACACTATACTTATTGACAGCGTTTCTTTTACTGGCGAACCCTGGTTAACACTAGGCTCAAGGGATAAAGTGTCTATTTTCACAGAGTTAAAATGGTTGGTTGATACGGTTAACAATTCCTCTGAACTAAGATTAACACCGTTGCTTTCGCCTTCGCTACCGAGACTTGGTGTAGCTAATATGGAAGCTGGAGTCGAGGAGATTGATATTTCCGATAAACTCTGAGAGACAACTGCACTTATTGGTTTGACCACCTGAAAAAAGACAGAAATAGTAAGGTTACCCCAGAGGCAAATGATCCAGTTGAATAGATTCAGAAAGTACAATAACGCCGCTGAATATTTATATGTACAAATTCAAATGTAGTTTAGGAAATACCCACAGAATTTAAATGTTGTATAGGAATTCAATGGTGCAGTACCTTATGCTATAATTTTCTTGGAGAGGAGAAATTTAATACAAGGAGTTGGGAGAGCAGAAATTCAAAAAAGGAAACCTCGACGGCGAAACAAATTCTAAAGAAGATGAACCTAGCCGTCTTCAATTTCTGATTTAAAACTGACTATAGATTTGTGAAATTTACCTTAAATCCCACGCTTTGTTCTATTTCATCATCTGACAGACCACTCAGCATATTAACAGCATCTTCAGCAGCAACAAGTGATCCACCTACACCCACTGTAAATTCTACCTCTGTCAGGTTGCTATCTAACTTGCTGACATCTGTTATCTGCAAGAATAAATATCAATTTCTAATTCAATTTCACAATAAATGTCCCCAATCGTACATTTTGATTTATGTTTTAAGTTTCCTAGGATCACATCATGTACGGTAATACAAAATTTAAAGAGGTCAATTCATCGCCCAAGATTATTCAATTGAACCATCAATCGATGTGTTTTTGAAAGACTATATAGTAAACTTACACCCGTGAACTATACTGTATAATAACCAGTTATGTTTCAGGGGAGAGTGAGCGGGTGGTGAATAATTTGCTTTTTGTCTAAGAACAGGAAGATTTATTGGAGTTCTCAACTATAAATATTTTTGCCGTATTTTACTCATAAAAGATTTCGTACTCTTATAGACTTTACCATTAATCCCCATTTTCATTATAGTTGGACGTTAAACCCCTTTTCTTTTTCATGTGTTATAATTAACAGAGAGAAAGAGAGGGACATGGGGTTTAACGTCCACTCGACTCAAACTAGGTCATTTCGGGACTTACATATGGTTTAATTTTATTTCAATAATTCGCTTGCGCGTAGGGGTCTTTAGCAGTGGGAGGAAACCGGAGGACCTGGAGAAAACCCACCAGGTTGGACAGGCGACCCTACTCCTTGTCACGTACAACCGGGGATTCGAAACCACGCCAGTTGACTCAATGACATACTTAATGATACAGCGCGCACGTGCTAACCACTAAGCCATCCAACCCCCTATAATTAACAGAGATATAAAAAGCACTGGTAGCAACAACAGTACAACACAGGATATTGTACTAATCTGGAACTTATGTACTGATCAGAGGGAGCCACAGTGGCTAAGAATGGAGGTTGCGTGTTCTCTCCCAAGTTGGCCCAGAAAGTTCATCTGGATTTCCGACATGGTTTCAGCTTTTCAGTGATGCAGGACGGAGGGCCTGACAAGGACAGCAGTCCAGTCGTTCGGATGGGACGAAAAATGGAGGTCCCGTGTACATATTGGCGTCCACGTAAAATATTCATTTGCAATTGGAATTCGATATAAGAGTAAGCTGTAGCGCCGCTGTCCGGGGAAAATTTCCCCCGTAGCACACGGCATAGCGTATGGGCGCTTTCATTATCCGAATCGGAGAAGACCAGTAAGACGTTAAACCATATTACATTCCATCTTGTATTGAGCCGGGTTATAAACAAGTAAACAATATAAACCAGACCTGAACTGTAACATTGGAGTTCTGTCCGGCTTCTCGTTTTCTTCGTCTAACCGGTGCTTTATTGCGATCTTGCGCTTCATTAAACAATAACTCAAGATCTACAAGGAAATAAATCTATAATTGATCTACATTTCTCAAATTAAAATCTATATACACTGTAATATAAGTAGTTTTTAATTGGAAACAAAACGTTATGAGTAAAAACAAATACCGAACACAATATTTTATTTGGTAGACCTAAATTCTCTTTGGGATTTCAAGGCTTACATACGATACGATATAATATAATGATCATGTTTATTGAGAAGCACCCAGCCAATTTCCAAGTAGCTGGTATCTGCACCTACATACTCCCTTCGGATGTTTATCGGATCCAAAGAAGTTTGTTTTTCAAGCCCGATACACACTTGTCAGGGGTAGAGCCCGCGGGGTTGACAGGTTTTTCTTAGTCATACAGACGGGGTGAACCGTGTACACATTTAAGTGCAAGTAAGAGATTCCTTGGCAGCTGAAATTCACGGAGGAGTTGCTGATGTTCCGGCAAGTTTCACCCCCGTGGCGTTACACACGTGACGATATTAAATAACCGTAAGTTAGTCTTAAAATGATTGAGGTATTGTGTTGACGAGACGTTAAACACCACTGCATTCAACAATTTGGATTATACTTACTAGTTTTTAGCTGCTCTCTGAATGTTGTATCATCTGTATTCTGACCACCCGAGTCTACAGTCATCGTCAACAAGTATCGTTCTTGATTTGTATATGTTGTTAATACTGATGTAGTCGGTGAAAAGACTTCCGCTGATACTGATGACGTTATTGATTCCCGATCAAAAACGGAACTCTCAGGATTGGTCAAAGAATATATTGGAGTCATTGATGATGGTTCAAGAGTTACACGTCCCACTTCTGACCCCGCTGGCATCGATTCTGTCTTCACATTCATTATTGACGTAGAAAAGTTTCCCGTTAGTTCTTGTGATGTATCAACTGCCTGTGTATCGGACATCTCAAAATTGATTGACGATGTTGGCGAGATATTATAAACAACACTGGTCGATATCGCAGTTTGTAGTCCCTCACTCGAGATATCATTGGCGAGGGACGAGACTTCCAGTGACGTTCCCACATCCAGAGAAAAGCCCTCAGATGTATCCAATAATGTATTTGTAGTCATGGGATAGCTAGAAGTAAATAAAGATGATAACACATCATTGCCATATGAAGTCGTAAGTTGGACTGATTCTCCATCTGCCGAAGAACTCAAGGAGGAAATCAAGCTGTGTGGGATCATCGTCAAAACATCTTCAACTTTCGTTGGTTCTATATCTAACGTGGATATAAACGATGGACTTGAGTCACTGGAAGTCGAGGATATTTTAAAAGAATCATCTAGTGAAGTCGCAATAATGTTTGATTCAAAAGATGGACTAGAGCTATACATGTATTCCGAACTCGTCACCGAAACCTCTTGACTGTCGGGCATAACAACAAGTGACGAACTGTTTGGGTTGGATGCAAATGAAGACACTGAAAAATCCAATATGTTTGACCTAGCACTATCCGATAAGCTGACACTAACTGCTGGGCTGAAACTGTCTGATATTGATTCTGAAGAAGTCATTGAAACACTTTGGAAGCTATTTAGCGGACTGTTCGTTCCAGCACCAAAGGAGGGGCTCTGAATAAAAGTTGGGGTTAAACTATATGACATGTATTCCGATGAAGCTGTGGACAAACCTTGGTTTTCTAACCCAGTACTAACTGAGGAACTGAAAGTTAATGAACTCGGTGCACCGGACTGTACAACATCTGGTGATAAAGTTGTAGATACTTCGATACGAACTGAAAATGTCCTTGATACACTCACTGAACTATAGTTTGACCCAGTAATGCTTTTTGCCAAAGGAGATGGTAAACTTTGATCTTGGTTTGATGTTACAGTTGATGGCGTTAATAAAACAAGGGACTTTAAACTTGCCGTCATCTCACTTGATGGTGCTTGGCTTGACGTAACAGTCAATGACGCTGATAAACTAAATGTACTTGGAATCGGCGTCTCGTCACTCGACGACGATTGACTTGGTATAACAGCTGATGCCGTCGGCATGCCAGTGATAGTTCGAGACGCCGTCTTAATACCAGATGACTCCCTGAACAAAACAGCTGATGACGTCGATAAACCAGTGATACTTGGGATCAGCGTCTCTTCATTAAACGGCGATTGGCTTGGGATAACAGCGGATGCCGTCGACATGCCAGTGATAGTTCGAGACAGCGTCTTTACAACTGATGACTCCCTGACCGAAACAGCTGATGACGTCGATAAACCAGTGATACTTGGAGACTTCGTCATTATACTGGATGATGGCTGACTTGACGTAAAAGCTGTTGACGATAGAGTGGGCGTACTTTGGATGGATGAATAGCTTGGTACAATATCAACAACATCAGCGCTAAATGCGGGCATCATATCACGTGAATAATACGATAAAACATAAATGGATTGGGACGTATCTCTGCTGTCACTAACTTTTGTGCTGGTTATGATCACAGTACTCGGGTTGATTTTGAATGAAGAAGACCGCGTTCGTTCTCCGGAACTACTAGAACTTATCTCACTATCCGCGCTATTCAATTCCTTTATGATTGATGATCCAATTCCTGTGGGTTCAAAGTTCGACGTTCCTTCTGGAAGAGCCTTCATCATGGACGATGTTGTCTCCATAACTATGTAATGGGATACAGTAGGCGATATTTGAATCATTATAGATGTTTGACCCAGGACTGATAAGGCTGAGGAGTTGGCCACCGATATTGGACCCTGTACCTGAAATGTAAAGATATACTAGATATTATGGCTTACGAATCGCCGATGTTTATGAATAGTTCAAATGCCAACAACACAGTAAACAGTGCTAATTGTTTTCACGTTTAATACCAATAATACCAATAATAATAATAGTAATAATTGCAGAAATTAAACCGAAATTAGTTTAATAATAATAATTTAAGTGCACATATATTAATTAATATCCCAACCCAAACAAGTAGAAGATTCATCATGACACACTGAATGTTTTAAAACAAATTGTTTTTTAAAATTATTACCTCAACACCTAAATAATCATTAAGTTCTTCTGGTGTCAGCTGTTTTAAGATTTCTTGTGCTTCATCTGGTGGAAGAGGTGCTCCGTCTATTTTAACTATGAAGAACACTTCACCTTTATTTGGTCCTTCTGTCGTTATCCTCTCAATCTGTGAAAGAGAGTGACGCAAAATCAACAATCAGTTCATTTGGTGACTATTTTCTTAACATCATTATCTCGTAATCCGTGTTATTACCGGGCAATTTAAATTTACTGTCTTGCACGGTGTTTCCCAAACCGTGAAAAATATTTTCTTCCCCGTTAAGTCAAAAGGATCTCTAGGAGGACTCCGAGGCAGGGGTGGGGTGGTCTGTGAAAAGTTTTAAATTGATGTATTATTCTTAATGGTCCATGTTGCTGTTTATCAAAACTAACGACTTTAGTATGGGAAATCTCAGTAAATACAGACGTTGTCGTGGATGGACTTTGCGGATTTGTGAAGTTTCCCAGGGGGTTCGCACGTGGAAAAGGGTTAGGAACTACTGCTCTAGTTTACAAATTCTATAAAAGAGATGGATGGTTTAGTGGTAGAATAAATGGACAATTGGTTGACCGAGAGCAAGAATGGATAGTTGGAAGTGGGACAATGAAAAACTGAATCAATCATTCAATCAATCGATCAATCAATGGGAGAATGAATGGGTAGATGATTAAACGACATTTATTGATATTTGCGTAGAGGATGAAAGCCTACCTCAATGGTAATATTTGGTTGTTGAGTTTCTCGTTTACTCCTCTGATGTTTCACGATCGTTTCCTTTAATATCAGTTCTAACCCTGTATCAATTACAATAGAAGTTCACATTTAAGAAATGACAGTGTACAATATATCAACACTTCAAAGGACGATGTGCAATACACATTGAATACGGTGTACAATACACACTGAATACGGTGTACAATACACGTTTAATACAGTGTACAATAGGCATTGATTTTATCACCACGTAAAGGGCAGTAGTATACTATACACGTTGTATTTGTCAACACTTAAAGGACAATGTACAGTACATATTGATATTAGGTATTGCACACTTAATGGAAAGTGTACAATACATATTAATTGAAAATATCAACACTTCAAGGGCAGTGTACAACAAACAAGGAATATTTCAACACTTTAAGGACAGTTTACCAGATCGGTTCACTGAATAATAATAAATATCTGATATAAACATATTCCACATATTTAAAAGTATAGATCGTTGCCATGGCTGCTCCGTAAAATTTACGCGCAAGTTCCGGATATGACGGGAAAGGGTGAAAGCGTATGAAGAAACAAACAGCCAGTATATAAACTACTAGGCCGTCATTGGTAAAAAAATATCACCTCGGTTGAAGCGGACGTTAAATAAAGCTATTTCACACACATTGGTAAGACGTGTGCTGCCATGAAAACCATAGTAACTAGTAACTATGCAATTGGCTGGTCTACATGGATTACAAATCGCAAGTACTTGCAGCAGTCAACCGGTGTGTGTGACCCGATCTTGTTAGGATGACTGACAAATATTTGCAAGAACTTATCGATGATAAACGAGGGAAAATAGCATTTTATTCCACAAATCTCTTATTACTACCCAATGATGTGACCGTTTCATCGACAGTCTGTTTATGTGAGACAGTCGTGAGAGAGAGAGAGAGAGAGAGAGAGAGAGATAGAGAGAAATGGGGTTTAACGTCCACTCGACACAAACTAGGTCATTTCGGGACTAACATATGGTTTAATTTTATTTCAATAATTCGCTTGCGCATAGGGGTCTTTAGCAGTGGGAGGAAACCGGAGGACCCGGAGAAAACCCACGAGGTTGGACAGGCGACCCTACTCCTTGTCACGTACCACCGGGGATTCGAAACCACGCCAGTCGACTCAATGACAGACTTTATGATACAGCGCGCGCACGCTAACCATTCAGCCATCCAACTCCCCCCCCCACCCCCCTGAGACAGTCGTACAGCCAACAAAAATCATATTTATTTTTAAACATTCAAAACCAAATTCATAACGGAAACTTATTTGATATTGCCGAAACCTTCAAACATCGTGACAATGTTAATCAGAGATCTTTTGGAGGAATTAAGTTTAATTTAGTGCCGTCAAATTTCACTTCCAGAAAGCCACAAGTTTGCCAGGGTAAATGAAAGGAACCAAATTGTAGCTAAAGTCTTCGTAGCTACTCTAGCACCAAGTGGTGATAAAGCTGAAAGATTGTTTTGTCACTCTCACCACAGTGAATAAAGGTGTTATCCTCTCGTGAATTCAACAACCTCAAAATAACTTGATTAGAAAGCAATTGTCAAAGATGGCGGCTCTAATAATCTATGATACGATTTTTAATCAGCATTTCAACTTCTCCGTGTAATTGTGGTGATCAAATCATAGTCTAATTCAGTTAATAATTAATCATTGTTCAAAGTCAAGCCTTTTTTATGCAGTCGAAATTCATACATATTTGATGAATTACCGGAGACTTTTAGTCGACTGCACGAAACGTCTGACTTCTTGTTGCCATTGGTAGTTTTGTTTTGACGTGTATTTTGTTGTTTTCCTTCAGGTAGGCCTACTCCTTGCGGTAACTATGTGTTTAGTGTTTTGATCACATCACTGTTTCTACCCACCTCAGTTCCGTAACTAGAGTTAGTACCATCCGAAAAGATCCATGTGTTGAGAAGGGGGTTGGGTGGGCCGAATGGTTTGACGCGTTAGATCGTAAAGTTTGTCATCGAGTCAAGTGGTGTGGTTTCGATTGCGTACAAGGAATAATGTCGCCTGTCCAACCTCGTTGATTTCTGAAGGTCTTCTGGTTTCCCCAACTGCTAAAGACCCCTACGCGAAATCGAATTATGGAATTAAAATTGAAGCATACGTTAGTCCCGAAATGACCTAGTTTATACGAGTGGGCGTTAAACCACATTTCTTTCCCTGATGCGTTAAGGTCTTTTAAAAGAAAATTGAAATATACTTACCATTTTTAAACTTCTCTTTAAATTCTGAAGTAAATATATCCTGTCCCATTGGATCAAATTTCAAAATAAAAACAGGTGTTTTTAAAACACTCATATCATTTATTATAACGTCACTCTTTTCAAAAGCTCGAAATGTTGAATATTGTGACGTCATTTCCTCGTTTTGTTTTTTGTTTTCCGTTCTCACAACACTTGAAACACTTTTAGACGCGATTGGCTGTTTTGTCAAAACGAGGCTATTATTGATGACGACAACACTTTCTACCCAACTGGTTTGTAGTGTCACACTATTTGAATTTAATGGCGGCATTTCGGTGGTTTGAAAATATTCTGTTAACGTATGTGTTGATTTGAACTGCGCCGAATCTGGAATAAACGTCGGTGAATAAATAGCAGGATATGTAGACTTGGTTAACATGGAATTCCATATTTCTGAAAATATAAATTTTAAAATATTTAAGAATGATAAGTGAACAATTAATTATTCATGGTCTCGGGTTATATTCCCGAAGCCATTGTTAAGAGGATTATGAGCACATATTTAAAAATAATTGACAACTGTTAAATATTCATAGTCTCGGGTTATATTCCTGAAGCCCTGGATACGAAATATGGAATGGTTAAGAGTAGACAGGCCTCGTTGCACTGCTTCAGGAATATGAAGCACGAGTCATTCTTTAATCTTTAAATGGCGTATAGTTATATTTTTTACATATGAATGTAATATGAATGTATGTAGAGAAACTTATTTACAATCAATTTTGTCATTGTGATTTCTTATCAGTTATGTTTGGCAAAATACGCAACAGTCAAACTGAATAATAGTTGTTTGCATCTGGTTAATCCAGTCTAAAAGTCAATTGCTTTTTCTACTTTTTGATTTGTGAATCAGCAATTTTTAATTACTTCCGCATTGATTTGTGAGATATGTTTTCCCCTGCTCAACACGTCTTCTCATTACAAAGGGCGCTCGAGACCATGATGACACTGTTTTTTAAATTTCCATTATATTTGCAGAGTAAGATAACCAGTGCCTTCAGAAATCAACGAGGTTGGACAGGCGACATTATTCCTTGTACGCAATCGAAACCACACCACTTGACTCGATGACAAACTTTACGATCTAACGCGTCAAACCATTCGGCCCACCCAACCCCCTTCTCAACACATGGATCTTTTCGAATGGTGGGCCTAAGCTCATTAAAAAAGTGGGCCTATAAGCCTATAAAGAGAAAAGAAAAAAAAAGAGAAAGAAAAAAGAAAAAAGAGAAAGAAAGGAGAGGGTGAAGAAAGCAAAGAAAGAAGGAAGGAAAGGACAGGACAAAAGACAGGAGAAAGAAAAGATAGGGAAAAAATGACTGACAAATAACACAAAAAAGAGAAGTGTACTACAAGGAAAGAACTTGACGAGTTTGACCTCAATATACCGAGAACCGTGTAATTCATATTTAACTTCCACTTAGTTCTTCATAAGTCATTATCGCCGAAATAATCGCCAAAAACTGAGAATAAAAGGTTTTTGTTTTTGACACTGAAGAGAATTCTCAAATTCATCTAATGATAGTGCTCTTAGGTCATTCTGTTATCTAATTGCATCAGGAAATCAAAAATTTGCCTTCTGCTTTGGTCTGAAATGCTTGGAAAATGGGTTTGCGGTTGTCAATTTTCAAATTTTTCCTGGGGGGAGACCCC